TCATACAATTGGCCTCAGCCCATCGCTCTGGCCTGTCCAGATCCCTCTGAAAAGCTTTCCTACCCTCAAGGAGATCAACACACCCACTCAAATTGGTGTCATCAGCAAACTTACTGAGGGAGCACTCAATCCCCTCATCCAGGTCATTGATAAAGATGTTAAACAGGACAGGCCCAAAACCGATCCCTGGGGAACACCACTGGTGACCGGCCATCACCTGGACTTCACTCCGTTCACCATGACTCTCTGGGCTCGGCCGTAGGACAGTAGGACTGTTGGAGAAGAACCACGCAGATTCCTGCACACATGGTGTCATTTTACACTCCCCCATTTTGTTCCTTCTATCTGCTTTAAACCAACAGGAGAGGAGGTAGAGAATTATATAATTTTCTTTTATTGTCTCCAAGTGTTTAAGGAATGACAGACATAAGTTTTTAATTTGATTGTTGTTTGCCAACACAACACAAACACACATAAAGTAACACAACAGCTTATCGTAGTGCACTGCAGAGCGCAGGGGCAGCCACTTGGAAGTGGAGGCAGAGAGAGGTGCCAGGGGAAAACCTGTCCGTGCCTTCCTTCAGACAGAGAAGACATAATGGTGCCTGGAAAAAAAGAAGGAGTCTTTACCAGTCTTTTATGTCACAGTTAATGCTGTATTGAGTGCATGGCCATTCTGGCAAGTGGAGGTCTAAGGAAAGATGAGGCTGATGGCAAATGATGGCTGGCAGCACAGCATGGGGAGCTGCGCTGTCAGGGTGGCAGCCCCCAGGGAGATGAGTGATGGAGGGGTGCAGAGAGGGGCACTGTTTTGGTGATGCCATGCACAAGTTGAGTGTGTGACAGGGGTCCAAGGTATAAGGTATAAAACAGTTTCTCCATGCCATTTAAAGATGTGGTGGGGCAGAGGGGTTGTTCATAGGGTTGCACTTTGCACACCCCAGTGACCCTCCCGGACAGACTTGGTGAGCAGAAGGAGTACATTTAATGCCGTGGTAACACTGACTGCTCTCACGATGAGAAATGTCAGTGCCATAATGTGGGTACCACGAATGTACAAAGCCTCATGTCCTCTGAACAGGCATCATGGAGAGTGCTCAATGAATTAGGATGGATATTTAAGCTCTTCTGAAAGCATTTCCCCTCCGGCATTCTTTGCTTTTTGCGTAACCCTGTGGTCTGCTCAGAGCAGTGACTGTGCCTGCTCTGACACAGAGCAGAGCTACGTGACGGCGCTCCTTTGGACAGGAATACAGCTCCAGAGCCCAGCCCTGTCCCTACACAGCAGCAGCCTCTTGCAGAAAGGCATCTGTTCGCTAAGGGCTGGATCTGATTCTCAGGGATATTTTGTGTGCATTAACCTTCCTGCAAGAAAATAACTATTCAGTACTGCATGTAGGTGGAGGAGATGATGGAAGAGAGGGAGAGATGCTGCTGGCAAACAACCAAATCAAGACTTAAATACAAATTCTTACTTTTCTTGTTTTCAGAAGGGCCAAATAGACTTTTTCAAAATAACATAGACCCTTCAGTACATGTGCTTGACTTAGGACTTGTTTGGGACATTTTAGGGACAGACTGTTGCTTGCCTTTTGCATGGAGAGGTAGGAAGGTGCCTTGGGCATCCCTGTGAGTCGTTGTCCTTCCTTCCTTTCCCCTGGGAGAGCAGAGCTGCCCGAGGCTGACATGGTGGGAGCAGCAGTGCCCTACCAGTCTTCCCAAGCAGGGGTGCCAGTGGCACGGGTGGCAGCCAGGGCTCACCAGGGAGTGCTCCCCTCGCAGGGGTAGTGCTGCTCCCCATCAACACAGCCCGTCTTCCACTTGTCTGATTTACTGGTCAATTTGATCAACCATTTAATTTTGACAAAATCATTGACAAAAGACCATTAAGAGGAGAGTTATGCCACTTCTACTCTCTGTGGCTTTGGCTCATTTATTTTAATTAGCTATAACAAATTCATGGTTAAACAAGGCTCAAGAGGGTGCTGTCTAAATGTGGTACTCATGGCATACACAGTACCATTAACGAAACACTTCTCCACAGCTTGACTATGTTCTCCTCCATCTAGCTTGCAGCTCATTATAGCACTAGAGATAGGAAACAGAATGTAACACCTAATTAAAATGTGAGCCTGTGTCCACAGATGATTCAATAGAAATAAAGGTATTAAGCTGGCGACAGAAGCAGGAGAGAGTCATCACAATAAAAACATATAATTCAAGTAGAGTCTGAAGGAAGCTATCCCTCTGCTTTAGGCACCTGCATGAAGCTGTGGGTAACATGAGTATTCACGTCCTCCTCCAGCAAAGCATTAAAAAAGTAAAAATTGATAACAACTAAATGTTGTTCTCATTAAGAATTCTGAACCCCACTGCATAATAACAATTTTTAGCCTGCCCCCTTGGTAGTCATAGAAATAGCATAAGCAACCACTTATTTTGGTACTAGGATTATAGATAGTGTCTTCTCTTATTTTAGTTGTTCTTTTCAAAACTGTACTGATGCATTTTATTGTATAAGTAGATGAGATGTCTGCAGCCATTGCAGGATCAGTTTATTGTGTGTTAGGTTAAGCATGTTAGAGGCATGCATAGAATTTAATGTTTTTTTAATATTGTTACTCTCCAAAATATAGGAAAAAAGTATAAATAACCAGATATGAATTTAAAATTACTCATACAAAAGATAAGCAAACTAATCATGTCTTTCTCTGTCTGTCGCAGGTGGGACAGTCCCCTGGTTGATCTGCTTTTCTCCAACCAGTATCTTCAGATCACAACTACTGTGCCATCCACTTCGGTGTACGGGTTTGGTGAACATGAGCACCCATCCTTCAAGCACAGCATGGACTTCATTACCTATGGCATAAACAGGCACCAAAGGTAATTCATTTCATGCAACACTTTGTCCTGAACTTGCCTCACAAAAAGGAGATGGCGAGATACAACTTTGCTGAGGGAGCGCCTCTCTCTGTATGGTAACACTGCTGATGTGAATCAATGGCAAACACAGAACGTCACAGGTTTTGCAGGTGTCATAAGTTTTAATTAAATTATAAAGCTGTGAGTAATTTTGAGGGGACTTTGAAACCTTTCATCAGAAGCTTTCTCACAGTGAAGTTAGTTTTCAGGAAAAGGTGTTTTGTGTGCCAATATCCTGGTTCAGGAAAGTATTTCGTTTCATGTTGGATCAATCCCTGTTCATTCAAACACGATGGACTTCAGCAGGGCTCATTAGATGTTTGGCTAAACTGGGGTCAGTGGTTGATGAGTCTATTTTAACTAGCAAAGTATTCCTTCTCCATGTCGTTTTAGAGGGTTTTGCAGAATATGGGGTCTAACTAGGAGTGACTAATAAGAACTGTGTTGAGGCACAAAAAAAACCTCTGCTATCAATTTGACTTTGCACCACTTCAGATAAGAAAATCCCCAACCTTTCAAAACAAGCCTCTTACTATGAATGAATTTGTTTCCTTCTCCTTGCATAGTACCTAGCTGACAAAAATGGTGAAAAATTGAAAAATCAAGCCATACCTAATGTGCTGCTTATGTTTCAGCCATTTGCCAACCTCTATGGAGTTCACCCTTTCTATATGTGTGTAGAAGCCGACTCCAACGCACATGGTGTTCTCCTTCTCAACTCCAATGCACAAGGTATATAGAAAGATGGTAATTAGTAAGTATAATAAACTGTTTTACTGATAGCCTTTTCAATGTGGTACAAATATGAGTCACCATTCCATAACTGAGGTTCCAGCAATTACTATGAAGTTTTCAAAGGGTTTTCATTAGAATAACTGTTTAACTAGGTAAGGTATTTTCAGTGAAAATATATGACTAATTTTTTTAAAAAAATAGATAGAGGAAAGAGAAGGTGGAAGAAATTTCCTCTGGGATTGGCATAAATGAAATCAATTTAGGTTAGTCCTGTCTTCTGTCTGTGGAGAATAGTTTTGTGCGTTGCCATGGTCACCTTACTGTATTAATCCAGTGGTATAATTTCAGAAAAGGAGAATCTCCACTCAGTCTATAAAATCAGTTTTCCTTGGCAGGCAATGACTTCCAATACGAAGACTAAAATAGCATAGAGGAACCCTAAACACAAGCTTGTGGTTCCTTTTTGTGTAAAGGAAATTGAGACAAAAGGATCTGTGCAATCTGCTCTGTGTGAGTTTCTGTGATTTATTGCTGAACAATGCCAGTCTGAAAGTGGAAGTTACAGAAACACTGGACAACTTCTAGCCTACGTACAGGTCCTGTTTGCTCATCTGATCACATCCACAAGGCATTGAGTAGTGAATTGAATGTGTAGCCACCTCTGCCTGGGGATACATTTGTGCACAGAAGAGCCAAATGTGCATGCATCGAGGAGAGGATGATAGTTCAGTTGGAAGGGACCTACAATGATCATCTAGTCCAACTGCCTGACCACTTCAGGACTGACCAAAAGTTAAAGCATGTTATTAGGGTCATTGTCCAAATGCCTCTTAAACACTGACAGGTTTGGGGCATCGACCACCTCTCTAGGAAGCCTGTTCTGTGTTTGACCACCCTCTCGGTAAAGAAATGCTTCCTAGTGTCAAGTCTGAACGTTCCCTGATGCAGCTTTGAACCATTCCCACCCGTGGTATAGAGCTAGTTTGTACTGAGAACCTTTTTTTTACCTTTCAGATGTTTCTCTGAGTCCAAACCCATCCCTAACTTTCCGAACTATTGGAGGGATCCTTGACTTCTATGTCTTCCTTGGACCAACTCCTGAAAATGTAATTCAGCAGTACACAGAGGTTAGTGTATATGGCACACAGGGGAGCATCCTGGAACAAACTCCCATCAGTGTCTGGTGGTATCAGCAGGTAGTGCAGAATTTGTCCAATCTTACTCTTCTCTGGTACGTGATAGTTTTACAGTCTTCACTACATGACCATAACTGTTTTGACACTCTGCATGGAGAAAACAACCTAGGCAGAGCACAGGTGGGAATGTTTGGGAACTTTACATCTGCTGGTCTTTAGAGATGTTGAATGACTTCAAAGGCTTCAAGCCTTTATTTGCCAGTGGAATTTCTTGTTGATTTTGGAGCTGTCACTCTGGTTTTTACCGTTGAAAACCCATGTAATTGCACTGGAGAGCATTTATGTGGAAAAAAACATATTTACTGCTGTCTCAAAGAGCATAACTACTTGCTTTCCAATTGCCCATTTTTTTCAAAAGAACTGAAATTACACATCCAAATAGCTGTTTTGGGAGGGTACATGCAACTCTTATCCAGTGAGAGCCACCTAGAAAAAAGTAGTAGGTAGCATGTTCTTCCTGGTCAACAAATGCCAGGTCATGCATTAACTGGGCCCTTGCACAAAAAATTGACACCTCAGAACCAAGCTCTGTACATAAAAAAACCCATGCCAAGCCTAAAAAGAGTGTGGAACACCCCTGAGAAGGGGTGTGTCACTGTGACAAGGGGAATTCATGGGGGCAGAGCCTGAGGATGGAGCTCTAACTGGAGGTGCTGGGCAGCCTGCAGTAGGGTGTCCTGGAGCCGGGCAGCAGGAGCTCACAGTGAGATGTGCACAGGCTCTAACTTCCCCTCTGCCATCCCACCAAGAGGCCTGAGGTCTGACTTTCAGCAAACATTTTATCTTTCCTGGCTTTTTAAAGCCTCCATATCCCAGGTGTGCCTTCTTTTAAAGTGCCTGAAATGGGAACTGAAATACTGTGGTTTGGACCAAGGGAAAATGAGGTTTTAGCCCAGAAGGAAGGTATTGCTGAGTTCTGTTTTCCTTCCTTTCCAAGCAGACGTTCAGGTGGTGCCTCCCAGAGAGGTGGGAGGCTGCTGGTGCCCCTCCGCATCCTGCAGCAGGAGCGATTGCTCTGTCACTCAGAGTAGTTTCTGGCTCCCTCTGCGTGTCCTCCCCACCAGCCACATCCAACTCCGGTGCCACAGACCAACCAGCAAACTGGGTTTTGAACTTATACATTGTCAACCAACCAACCAAAAAAAAAAAAAAAAAACAACCCCAAACAAACAAAGTAAAGAGACTCTCCTCCTAGCCACAGCTTTGTGATCCCTGCAATGAAAGCACCTATTTCAGGGGAGTCGCTGCGGCAGTGCGATGGAGATTAGAGCCATTCCCATTTCTTTTCAAAGTCTTTCACTGGTGTTTGAAGGCAGCATTTCTGTGGCTTAGCAGGTGGCCAGCAGCTGAAAATAAAATGATAGAATTCTCACTCCCCAGCTGATGGGTACTGGCAGCTCACTTTCCACCCCTGCCTCTCCGGAAATGGAGCTGGAGTGAAAAAAACAAGGTAAAGGGGAGCTGGTGGGTGTCTCCTAACTAGACACGTCACGTGCCAGGACAAAAAATCCCCTGTTCTGTATTCTTTGAGCTTGCACTCAGCTCTCTAGGGAATCTTAAAGAACGCATGGTAGCAATTTCACAGTGAAATAATAACTTCTTCAGTAAACATCCTGAAATTCCCACATCGCAAATGTTACAACTACCATATTATTAGTCTCTAGGGTAATGATTTGGCTTTCATCTACCAGATATGTGGGAAGGTGAAAGAGACAGAAAATATTTAATTTTTCAATTGTATTTTCTGTCACACTGAGAGGACTCTCCTGCATGGTCATTTTCATGCCCTGGAGAAGGAGAGGGGGTGGAAGGGAGCAGTGTGACCGATGTCTGCAGGGCACTGCTCAGCACCACCCCTCAGCTTTCTCGGCTGTTTGCATGGGTCCCCTCTTGGAAGCAGTGTTTGGGAACTCCCAGCTGTGGGGGACTGGTGGGGTGAGGCTGCCCTGCTGCATTGAGCTCCTTAGGGGAATGGTACCTGCCTCCCACCTCTGCAAGCACCTGCCCAAAGTCACTGCACGGGGCTTTTTGCAGGGACCTCCCATTCCATCCTCTGCAGGATGGACCCAGTGGTACAGAGCAAAGTGCTCCCTACCTTTCTCAAACATTTGGTGCTGTTGCCTTCAGTGCCACTTCAAGACGTGGGCAACTCCCCTGGCCCCCACTGTCCTTGTTGCTGTGGAAGATTTAGGAGCTGAGCTCTGCTCAGTGCTTTTATGCACCTCCCTCCAAAACAGTGAGTTAGGGCAGCTCTGTAATGAAGCTCTTTACTGGGTCTCTGGAGTATGCAAGCTTTCCCCATGCACCTCTCCAGGTTGCTGCCAGCACCTGGGGGTGGCTTACAGGCTCTTGCCCAGAGCCACTGCTGTATGGACAGCTTGGGGTAGCTGGGCTATGCCAGGAGCAGGTCTCCCTGTGTGGTGATCAGGAATGATTGCAGGTGCCGTGCCAGGGCCACCAGCTGCTCCGTGCATCCTCAGGGTGAGGACAGGTGGCAGTGAAAGCCATGGTGGCCCCGGGTGCCAGCCTGGCCCAGGCTAATCTGCTTTAAATGGGCTCCAAGGGTGACACAGGGAGTGGGAAGAGAGCAGAGGGCTGAATGCTGGTGGCCCTGTCCCCACTGCTGTGTCTTGTACAGAGCAGATATGGGCTGTAGGATGTATCCTACCAGTGGATGTGGATAGCAGTGGATAGCAGTGACAGGGGCTATCAGGTGTGTGCTGAGCATCACGTGATGGGAAGAAGAAATCTCCATCTCGATTCTTTTGCTCCCTCCTGTCCCTGAGCCTGGCTGTGAGGAGTGCTGCTCCTGGCACATCAGAGACAGTCCTGCCACAGCTATATATATATATTTGACAGTAATCACACTTATCTCCTACTACAGAAGAGGTCTGGTGTGCAGAACAGTTATATAACACAAATCTCACTTTTTGTGGCAACCACCTTGGTTTGCAGGAGAATGGGAAAAAGCAGTAATAAGCTAAAGAACTCAGCCACTGACCTGAGCCTAGGTGAGGTTCTACAGCCAGACCTGATACCAGGCCACCATTGCCAAGTCCACTGGTGGCCTTTCGGGACAGAGTAACGTTGCACAGCAGTAGCGTATGAGCTCCATAAGAAGACACTTGGGAAAGTTACAGTTCAACAAATGGACATGTAACAGCTGGTGGGTGTAGTGAACACCAAGAATTTGTTACTTTGTCACAAATTATCTGATGACAAATTTTAAGAAAGTATACTGCGTGTCTCCTAATTCTGTTCTTAGAGCAAATTGCTGGTTTACTTCCTCCTTAAAGAGCTATAGGATAGTGCTGGATGGAAGGGACCTCAGGAGGTCTCTTGTCCAACCTCCTCTTTAAGAGGTAACATGGGGAACCTGCTTGTACCTACAGTTTATAACAGATGATTCAGTGAGAGTCTCGCAGCTGAATCTTGGGTTCTCTGAGAAAGCCTATGCAGCTGATAAGTGTTTGTGCAGCAAAGAACAAGGTTTGAAGACTTTGGCATTGAAAATCCTTAAAATTTTGAGAGTCCTGAGGTTGTGAGCATCTTCCTAATGGTTCAGCTGTTGCATGGCCTTTCTTCTTGCTCTCCTAAAACAAAGTTCAACTTCTGTTCATAGACTTAGAGTGAAGGTTACCCCCTGCCTGACTAGGTGCCCACAGCACTCACCTGCCTGCCTCAGCCATAGGGGATGAGCTGGATACAGATATCTGGGCCATAGGAGCACTTGTGTAATTTAGCCGTTGTGTGACTATCCAAACACACTATTTCTATGTCTAAATCCAGAGCATTAGCCCAGATTTTTATAGTTTCCGCCTACAGCTCTTCCTTAAAGAAAGGAAATTTAAGCATATATCAAGCTTCAAGAGTAATTTTATATGGCAAATTAGGGTGCAAGATTAGCAATCATTCATGTTGAGCCCCTGTACCTGCATTGCTGGAAATTTCAGCTCCTTTGTAAGTGTCGGAAGAGTATCATCTCTCTTTACGGCCTGTATGAATAGGGTATAACTGTTCAGCTGCCTTTCTCACATCAAAGTCTTTGGTCACAGTGTTAGTAGAATAGGATTGTGAGTTACTATATAGCATTTAAAACTTGGTTGATATGCTTGATGCTCATGGTAATAATGTTATTTATCCAATAACCCAGCACAGGGAAAGTGAATAGACATCACCTGCTCCCTGGGCACAGATTTTAGCTGCTGGGTATATATGTTTTCACTCAACTTTGTTTTTACTGCAAAACACTTCCAGGGTAACTCCTAGATTCATCAGGTCTCAGGTGCATCTGAAAAAACGTGAAAAAAAAATTTACATAATGCGAAGTTATGTAAACCTGGAAAAACTAACAGTGAATTTATTAAACAACACCAGGAGTTATTTAAGAACCAAGTGCAGGAGGAATTGTGGTACAGAAAATAGGATCTATTTTTTTTTTTCTGCTTTTGCACTACTGTATCTTCACATTTATTTTTTCTCAGTTTGGATACCCCATATGTTTGCTGTTTCTGCACTTTTTATGTTTTCCTCCCTCAGTTCCCTTGCCATACCTCATTTACCTTTTCTGATTCTATAGGATTCAATTTTGCCAAGCAGGCTTTCTCTGCCTACTGCATTTTATGATCATTTGTATGCAGAATGCAACCTATATGAATTAACTAGATCCTAAATATATATCAAATCAAACATGAGTTTTCAGGTTTGCAAAATTACATCCCTGCCTCTGCTGATCAATCTGCAAGTAGGTACCATATGTCAGTTACTTTATCAGGAAGCTTCAGGGGGATCCATTAGAGAGAGTCCACAGCATAATTAGAAAAAAGAACATTTGTTTTCCCAGCTGTCCTGTTTTCATCCTTCCTCTTCAAATGTTCTGCTGATTTCAATTAAGCTCACCATAGATGCGCCAGCCCGGTGAACCTGGGGAACTAATTGCTTTAAAACTTCATATCTTGCTTGCAAGGTGTATTTTCTTCAGTTTGTTCAGCTGTAAACCCAAACTCCTCAAGGGAAGCTGTCATAAAATACCACCTCACTGCGGGGCAGCCCTGGGGTCCACAGATAAGACAGCACCATTGCACAAGGGCCTGCAGCTGAACGGCAGAAAACCCCAGCGCTGGGGACATGGCCCTTTGGAAGCACCCTGGGTGGCATGCTGGTGGCCAGAGCTCCACCTCCAGCTCCACTGGCATTCACCTGGGTGCTCGACAGGACCCATGGGCAGAAGGTTGTGCACCTCATTGTATTGACAGTGTCCCAGGCTGTCCTTAGCTGGGAGCAAGCTGGCACATTGCAGAAGCCGGAGCAGGGCTGCCTGGCAGTTCCTGCTGCCTCTGCCCAGGCTGGTCAGCCCTGTGGCAGCTCCTGTTTCCCAGCCCACCTGGGGAGAGGCAGTGGCGCACTCCTCACTGCAGTGCTGGGTGCTGCACCAAGCACACATCCTGCCAGTGCACTGGGCTCTGTATTCAGCAGTAGGATTAATATCACTGGTTTTCCCCTTACTCTTGTCCAAGGAGAGAAGCCTGTGCACAAAACATTTTGTTTCTTTAAGTAGTTCTTTTGTTTTGGTCTGTCTTTTAAACCCTGTTTTTAGAGGTCACTCTGTTTACAGTAGAGACAGCAAGGGCAAAATGTGCAGCTACTTCAGGAGCACAGAGTGGTAGGCTTCATGGAGCTCATCTTGCAGCATTGGCTGGGCTAAAACAAGCTCTGCTGTCTCCTCAGATTAATTTATCCTCAATATGGCGAGTGCAGTTGTGATGGAGAAGCAGACTTCTCGCCCTGAGGCTTGCTGTGCTCTGTGGGACACCTCAGTGCCAGTTCACAAGGTGTCCAGGAGACTGTCCCGAGCCATGGCACCCCATTCAGCTCTCCATGGGAAACCCCAGCAGAACTCAAAGGATGGTCTGGGGGATCACGCACATCTGCACAAGCTGGAAATAACCAACGTCACATGTAACCAGACGAGACTGCACCATAGTGGCAACGGGGTCTCTCTGCCCACTGGCCTCCCCCTGCATAGTTGGAGGCAATCTCTGTCTGTGCAGAGCCTCTCCCGGCGAGGGCGCAGCGAAGCCTTAGTGTGGCTCTGTCAGCACCGTGCTGCTGTGTCAGCACCGTGCTGCTGGGTAGCTGCTCCTGGTTCCTCCCAAGGGCTTAGCCTCCAGCTAAGGTGGAGGTTGAAGTAGGTGTTGTGGAGGGTGAAGTGAGTTAAGCCTGGTGGAATGGGACGAGTAGGAGGTGTACAGGGCAGCTGTGCTGCTCAGCCAGCGCATCCCTCCTGGAGGGACTCAAATCATTAACTTCACCAGTTGTTCTGACCTCCTCATGGTTTTTCTTAGGTGAGATAGCAGCATCCCTACAAGCAAAAGCACACTGTGTAGCCAAATCTGTAATGCTTGGTGCTTACAGTTCACCTGTCTGTCCACAAGCCATTCTCATTTGGAAGCAATTTACCCTGTGTGTTCCCCCAGCTCAGGCACTTTAAAATATCCCCTGCTTTTCTGGGCTTCTCTCCTACATCTGTTTTTCTGTCCAGTGCAGTTCGCACATCCCACCAGCTCTAACATCTGTGACATATTTTAGAGCAATTTCAAGTTCAGCATTACTTTCCCGGGTCAGACTCTTACTGGAGAAAATAGAATCATAGAATGGTTTGGGTTGGAAAGGACCTTAAAGATCATCAAGTTCCAACCCCTCTGCGATGGGCAGGGACACCCTCCACTAGCCCAGGTTGCTCAAAGCCTCATCCAGCCTGGCCTTGAACACCTCCAGGGATGGGGCATCCACAGCTTCTCTGGGCAGCCTGTTCCAGTGTCTCACCACCCTCACAGTGAAAAATTTCTTCCTAATGTCTAGTCTGAATCTACCCTCTTTCACCTTATACCCGTTACCCCTTGTCCTCTCACTACACTCCCTGATAAAGAGTGCCTCCCCATCTCTCCTGTAGGCCCCCTTCAGGTACTGAAAGGCTGCTATTAGGTCTCCTTGGAGCCTTCTTTCCTCCAGGCTGAACAACTCCAACTCTTTCAGCCTGTCCTTATAGGGGAGGTGTTCCAGCCCTCTGACCAATTTAGTGGCTCTCCTCTGGACTTTTCTCGGGAAGATGTGCCTTTGTGCATTGCGATCTCTAGAGAGCTTAGCAATGCAATAGATAAGAGTGCCAGGAGTGCCTCGTTTTATTTAATTAAATTATATGGGGTTTAGCTGCCAACATGCAAGTTTTGTTCTTATTAACTTCTTAGCATAATTACCTATATATGGAGATCCATCAGGAAATAAGGGAGGAATAGTTATTTAGCCAAAGGGAGTCAATAGCTGCAACTGATTAATAAGTCATGGGTGCTTACTAGCTACTTCATTTTCATGTATTGCCTGCAAGGATGTTAGAAATACTGAATGAAGGATCCAATTTCATGGGATCTAACTGCTTATAAACGGGAGTAAGGATTTCAAGAGATGTACCCCAGAAAACACCAGTGTGTACTAATGAGGCAACACCAGATTTCAGCTTATTTGTGGAACAGACACATGGTGGTTACTCACTACTTGTCCCGGGTTGCCAGAGCAGCTCTCACTGGGGAAGCAGAGTGGGATGTCTCACTCCCCTGTGCTCTCCATTGAGTTTCCTCATGCAATTTACAGCTGGATTATGTAGAACCAGTGGAAATTAAATATTTATAAAATCGTATTTAACTCATTACCTCATTTTTCAGCTGAAAATTTCAGGACCAAACAGTAACTCTGACCTTGAAGAGGTTTGTCAATGCCTGGCAACCCAACACCGTGGGCCAGGAAAAGCAGTCAGTCACAAGTAGCTGAATTTCATCAGGGTGGTGTGTAAATACAATTAAAACTTCAGAAAGCTCAAATAAACGTCAGACTCTCGATGAGTTGGTTCAGCTGGCTGTGGCAAGAGAAATTAACATCAGAGATTTGCCTGCTGTTGACCAAAGGGTTTGTAATGTTGGCATGAGTCAGGCGGTGCGAGGTTTCCACTAGTGTGCGCTGCGGAAGGGAAGGCACGTGCTGCTGTGCAGAGGCTGAGACCTCAGAGAGACCCTTATGTCATGTTAGCCTGCGTTTTATACACCGTGTCTTGTCTTCCACTGGGATATTCTTACAAGTGATGCTCAGTGTGGGTGTCACTCAGCCTCTGCTCAGGACAAGGGTCCATAAGGAGAAGTGCTTTTTTGAAGCCAAGCATACTGTACAGCGAGCTGTTCTGAGACAGGAAAGGGTATTTCATGAGAGCGTGATACCCATGCCCTGAACTTTTTGGTGTTTCAGAATAACTTTTCTCTTCAAAATCTTCATCTCACCCTTTGCATTTCTGTATTCCTCATGCCTGCTGTAGGCCATTGGACGCCCACACATGCCTGCCTACTGGTCTCTGGGATTTCATCTCTCCAGATGGGGTTATGGCAGCATTGATGTTTTAAAGAAAACCGTCAATCGCATGCACTACTATGACATCCCATACGTAAGTATGAATTTTTCAATCCAAAGTGAGATGAATAAAATCATAATAGAGGAAGACTGATTATTCTACAAAGCGAATTACAGAATAAAAGGATGCTGATAATCTTATGTAGTGGTTTTGCATGTAATATCTTTATAATGCTTAAAAGAATATTTAAAGCAGGCTTTGAATATGAGGTTTAAGTGCTGCGCTTGGCTGCATAGCAGGCAATTCTGCTGTGGATTTACTGTTATGCAGCATGAGGTGTTAGCATTTTAAAGATAAATTATGGTACTTCTAATGCATATAACTGCCAAACAGCTGCTAAACTAGGACTCCTTCATTTCCATTTTGTCCATTGCTACCATGAAAGTTTATAGGAGCTGAATTTGGCCTGACAATTATTTACAATACTTACAGCTGATCTCTGAGGTTTCATTTTGTACATTAGTTACGTTGAAATGCAGTTGCATATGTTCTGATTTTCTGTATCAAATACTTCAATCATAGAATCATAGAATAGTTTGCACTGGAAGGAACCTTTAAAGGTCATCTAATCCAACCCCCCTGTCATGAGCAGGGACATCTTCAACTACATCAGGTTGCTCAGAGCCCCGTCCAACATGGCCTTGAATGTTTCCAGGAATGGGGCACCTGCCACCTCTCTGGGTAGCCCGTTCCAGTGTTTCACTGCCATCAGTGTAAAAAATGTCTTCCTTATATCTAGTCTGAATCTACCCTCCTTTAGTTTAAAACCATTACCCCTTGTCCTATCGCAACAGGCCCTGCTAAAAAGTTTGTCCCCATCATTCTTATAAACCCCCTTTAAGTATTGTTAAACAGCAGCCTTTATTCACAGGAGAGGTGTTCCATCCCTCTGGTCATTCTTGTGGCCCTCCTCTGCAGCTGCTCCAACAGGTCCATGTCTCTCTGGTGCTGAGGACTCCAGAGCTGGATGCAGTACTCATGTATTGTTTACTTAAAAAATGTTTAGGATGTCCAGCACCTTGACATCGACTACATGGAACGTCGCCTGGACTTTACTTATGATAAAGTGAATTATGCAGATCTGCCAGAGTACCTTCAACAGCTGAAGAGGGAAGGAATGCACAATGTCGTGATTCTGGTAAATTAACGGTGTTGCTAATTATTTCCCCATTTATAAGAACTATTTGCAGTATAGTGTTCATAGCAGTATCTAGGTGCTAATGCATGCATGCTATTATAGCAGATTTTCCATTTTTGTCATTTGTTGAGAAGAGCTGAAGAACAATTTATCACAGATTTCATATTTAAATGTGTTGCATTTATCAGATATCTGTGTACCAGCACCATCTCTGTACCATAACATTATTTTTCTTTCACTTTTTCCCACCCAGTTATGAGAAATTTTGCCTCTGTTTAGGGCTGAGTTTCGATAAGATTATTTTAATGTAATTCTTTTCCTGAAAAAGAACAAGTGAGTTTAATACACACACAAAAATAGTAGAATAGTGGAAAAAATCTACTCATAGTCATTCTGGAGAGCTAGTGGCTACAGTCAATGTTTCCTTATACTTACTGTTAACCTAAATTAATACAAGAGAATTTTGTTTGCATGAAAATTGGTGGAAAACATATGTTGAACCTGTAACCAAAACTGATGTATGATCCAATGAATGAATTTGGACAGAAGTGAAAACTGAAGATATCCATCTTCCCCCATCAGTTTTTCCAACAGAGACTGCTGCTTTTCTCCAGCAAGTTCTCATACTTGTCCTTGCACTGAAATTACTTCTTCTCACAGTAGCTGAGTGCCAGTGGTGGCAAGGAAATTGGAGGCCAGCAATTAAAGTCTTTGATAGATGCATGAGACCTAGCCCAGCACAGGCTGGGGCAGTCACACACCGCCTGAGAAGGATTGGGGTGGGAAGGCTCGGGACTGCTGAGACCTGGAGCAGCGCACGCGGGTGTGAAACATCGCCACAGAGAAGAGAGGTGTAATTTGTTCTTCATAACCACGAAGGACAGGATAAGAAGAAAAGTGCTTTAAATTGCAGCAGAAGAGGTTTAACATAGACATTAGGATAAAGCTGCCTGTCTGCAAGGCGAGCCAAGCAGGGAACCGGCTGCCCGGGGCCAGGGGTACCTCCCCAAGTGGGTGCTGCAAACAAGTCCAACAGATGCATCAGGGATGGATCAGGCTGAGCTGACCCACAGGGGAATGAAGTGGAGACAGCCCCACAGAGTTTCTCTCAGGACTTTTTGCTATAACTGCATTCATCTATTTTCCAGCCTGAAGGGTCAGCTAACACCTTTCATTTGGGTGTTGCTATTCTTATTTAGCAAAAATTACCAGTCTCTGGTCCTGATGCTTTCTTTCCTGTTATACTTATTCAAACAAGCATATTCTCCCTCAGATTTTTCTGCTAGGCTAAACACACTGAAGTATTTTATTCTCTTCTTATTAGGTGAGGTCTTCAGGTCTCATTATAGTAGCCCTCCCTCACACGTGCCCCATTTTGAATGCATTTGCCTGTGTAGTAGAAAACTGGATTTCACAGTGCTCTAGCCGATGCCCCCACAGTGTTTGGAGAATGCCAGAAATACTTAATTCTGCTAAAAATGTCTCATATGACAAAGCTCTGCATCACATTTACCTACATTATATCGGTGGCTCATACTTGTAAGGAGACAAATTAATCCAGCTGAATCAAGAATGGACAGGCCACCAATGTTTGGGCCCTAAGTTGATCCAGTCCTTTTAAAATAAGGGCCGCATTCCTCATCTTGCCATGGGGGTCCTGTGAAAGGTTTGTGGGAAGAGAGACTGAATAGCAGAGTCCAAAATTGTGGGACAATTCCTCTTTCACTTGTGGTGGTGTATCAGATGCTCACCGCAGTCAAGATAACTGAGAGCTACTGCAGTTTCCTCATCTAAAAATCACATTATCTTTTCAAACAGATAGATTAAGTCAGAAGTGCATCCCTGTCCTTATTTTTTCCTCCACAATTTTTCTAAAGTTTAGCATACAGCTATGGATGGACTAGTTAGCACCACAGATACCCATTTCAGTTTTCTTTTAAAAATACATTTATGAGGTTTGCTTTTCTTCAGCCTGCTGGAGGGTTTTTTTGTAGTTTCATTAAAAATACCTTCTCTGTATTTATTATGGGCCTAATCTTCACTTTGTTGCAGTATAATTGCATTTGCTGCTAGGAATCTTTAACAAAACCCCACAACCCAAGTGATCAATTACATAGTTCTTCTGTAGCTGTAAATCACGAGAAGCTCCAGGGTGCCGCAGAAAAAAGTTTCCATCAGTGGAGGTCCAAGGTACAAAGTTTAAACAGTAACAGATTACTAAGCCACTGTGATGGAGAGCAACTTCACTACAATGATCGTCCAAAATTAACTGTATACGTCACTGTAAATAACTAACCAAGTGGTAGATGAGCGCATGTGCTGTCAGGACTGAGGACTCTTTCCAACTATTAGGCAGTTTAGGCTCCCTGTATCCTCAATACTGCTCTAAAAATTGTCTAATATCTTAGAGCTGTAACATTAAATACCACCTGCCTATTTGTTGGTTTATCTCAAAAAAGCTTGCAAGACATGAATATATCAACAAATACTGTGAGTTTGGGGTAGCTCTTCTCATGCACACACTTGCCCTTCAGTAAATACATGGTAGTCACTTCTTTTTCACCAAAGTTAGGATGCCTCCAGTCATCTTGCGCTTGCTGCTGGGTAAGAAGCTACGGGCAAGCAGTCATGGTTTAGAGGGTGAGCTGTGTTATCTTCTTACTTGTGAGTTTAACTTCAACTACATTTTAAAAGCTCTTTCAGTTTCTCAGATGGCGCATATTAGAGCAGCACAAGGAGCTATCGCTATATAAATTTTAATTCAGCTTTTAGGCAGATGCAAGGAGTATAACAACAATTCTTAATTCATGCAGTGAGGTAATGGGAATCCAGATAGGAAGCCCTTCTTTCCTCCTTCCACTAACCTGTAACTAAGGACTATCTTCGGCTCTAGTTCTTCGGATAAGCTTGTGAAAAAGAGCAAAAGCTGATCCAGTTTGTTCTTCATTTTTTAAAGGCTAATGTGACATATAGTCACTGATAATGAAGTTTTCTATTTTCACTTTATTGCTGATACTTCTGTCAAACTCTGACTGTTAGTGTTCTTTAGTGATGTAAAGCATTCCCGTAAGTTGAGTCAGGAGCTGGAACAGAATGGAGGGTTTCATTCCCAAGTGACAGCAAAGCCATGCTAACTGCAATCAAGGCAAGTGTAATCCAATTTGATACCGAGAGAACAATTTTCTATTTAGATTCCCTTTGGGTAGCAACACTAATGAGTGAGAATGAGTGAGTTGCCCAAGTGTAGAAGATTCCTCATGATGATTTCAGGAAATGGGCTCTGACTGCAGTCTCTTACTGTCATGTAAAACCTCTAGTAAATGGATTTGGGGGAGATGAGTTCAGTACTCCTCATCTGAGGCCACTATGGTCACAAGCAAAGTGCAGATCCTGAGAATCAGCAGTATTAACACCGGTAACCTGCCTGAAGATGGGGCCCTGAACTCGGTTGTACCATCACCACTGGGGTGGCTGGTGCCTCACCATCAGGAAGCCCGGTCTCCACGCTTGCATCTGTGCCTATGGTCACCTTGGTAGTAGCATGGCCCCATTACTGGAGTCTCTAAAGGCAGTCCTTCAGCAGTTCTCTCTCCTGATCTCTTTCGGAGGACACCTCCATTTAAGGGAAATTTTGTCTAAGACTGTCAGTACTTGGCCATCATTATTGCACTGAATAATGTGCATGCTTCAGCTGAGGCAGAACAAATATATTCTTTAGAAATAAAGTTCTAAAACTAACAATGACTACAATGTAAAATGATAAACATTATTACCGAAGAGGAGCTTTAATGAAAGACCTTGCATACCTTCCATTAACTCACACTAAAAATAGAAACAGCCAGGAATGACATGAGTGACAAATTACTTTAAAGTCATTAGCAACACATTCATGATTCCAAATAATGCTTGATAGCTTTAACATTTTAAAGTCCAGCTCTATGAGCTGTAGAGGCTAAAATTTCCAGAGATTAGTTTTTACAGATGTGTGTCAAAATCTATGTTTGGGCTATAGGTGGAAGTGCATCAGTCTGGATAAGTGCTGGGTACCCCCAGGTCTCAGGGCAGTCTGTTGGAGTTAAGGATGCCCAGCACCTCCTCTCCAAGAGTTGATAAAAAGATGAGTTAGGAAAGATTTAACAGACATGAACTTCCTCTCCCACAAACAACCCGTGAATGCACGGTAGAGTATTGTTCTCTTTAGGACGATAATAAACCTGCATAATATATTAGATTTATTCACTGGAATAACCTTTCAGCTGAAGGAAAGCAGAAGTTTGGATTAGGAGTAGCTAATTAAGCTGACTTCTTCCAGCCTTCACGTCCCTTGAGAGGCATCTTCTCCACAATTATAAGATAATTATTGCAGATGGACAGTTTTCTCTTTTCCAAAGCCAAACTGTTAAAGAAGTTAAAAATATAATGGACACTTATACTCTTTATGAAGCTGATGCTGAAGCAAGATGGTTAAAGTTGAAAAGAATTTTGCACTTAAGGTAGCGATTTAGCAGGGGCTTTTGTTTCTGAGGCATGGAACTCACCAGGACTTTCCTCACCAGGACTATAGCTATCAGAGGGCTTACAAGTAAATCAGGCAATTAATTTAGGTATTAAAATGATATTTAAAACATGTTTTCAAAGAAATTTACCATTTGGGAACAGATTTTTTTTTTTTTGGTCTTAAGAAGTTTATTAGTTAGACTTCCATCATATTTTAATTAAAGTTCACTTAAATTATTGCATAAGCTGTAAGTGAATGGAAGAATTGTTTCAGTGGTGTTTTTCTCCATTGTGTTTCATAACTTAAAGTTTTTTGCCTTAAGCAGAACCTGAGGGAATAACATTTTCTAAGAAAAAAGTAAAGAATTCTCTTCTTCTAAAATGGCTGCAATCTTCCTCTGTTCTAAATAACACAGAGCAGATAGCTGCTCTCAGTTAGGGACATATTGCAAAGTGTGCTTATCTCCTTTTAGTCCCAGTCGACTGCTGAGAAGAGTTGAATAGTATCTCTCCTGTCACTGGCATCTCAAAGTATTTCTAACTTTATTACTTACTGGCATGGTGGGCCATGATCTTCCCCAGGAGCAAATTAGGCTCCATTTTGATGAGCTTGGTGGTTACTGATGGCCATCCTGAGGCAGAGAAGCCGGTGGTGTCAATGCCACTGGCAGCAATGAGAGGTGGTGACTACTCCAAGCAGTGAAAGGGGCAGCAAGGATGAGCTATGAGGTGTAAAATGCTGTGGTCTTCATGCCCGGGGAGAACAGAGAGATATGGCCCCACAGGCATGCATGAGTTGGGTTACTCTGCACCAGACTGGCACAAACCGCTCTTGTGTGACATTGGATCCCAAGGGAGGGTTAATGAGGTCCTTTTGAGGTTGGATGTGTCCCAATGTCAAGCCCCTTGAGAAGTTTTAGTTATTCCTGCATTGAGCTGCTGATGCTGAGGCAGCTGGAATGAGGACTGCCGTGGAGGAAACCTTGAGGTGTCCAAGGGTGGGAATGCCCAGCGTGGCACCCCACTCTACCAAGCAGAGACCTCGGCTGGGGGGAAGTAAAATCTAGTGCCACTCAGAAATCATTTGAACATGTCTCATCCAAAAAAAGCCCCACAAGGGTATTTAATAATTTCACATCACTTTTGCCTTATACAAGAAATGCTCATGACACACCTCTAATGACTTTTCCTAAATTATGTGCTCTCAACTCTTATTAAATTTTAATGCTGTTTTCTTCCAATATTATTGCAATCTGCCTTAAGAACATCATACAGATTTTTCTAAAATACACAAATAGAAAAGTAATTGTTACCTGGGATTTCGATAATGGAAGTGTAATCACTGTTTTCAGGACCCTTTTGTAACTAAGGATGAAGAACCAGGCACTTACAGACCTTACGATCTCGGAGAGGAAATGGGAGTCTGGGTGAACAACTCTGATGGCGTAACTCCTGCTGTTGGAAAGGTTGGTTTATTAAATTCTCTCATGTATTTTCTCTAGTGCTGCTTCAAAGTGATAAAGCAGATGTGTAACAGACATGAGAAGATAACCAGTTGTTATATCTGTGAACTCTAGGCTTTGGCCCCGGGAGACTCGGTGTTTCCTGACTTCACCAACCCCAGGACAGTTGAATGGTGGACCCAGATGTGTCTGGAGTTTAAGGATGTCCTTGACTATGATGGAATCTGGATTGTATGTCACATTATATTTGCCCTCCCTTCTTTTAAAAAAAGAAAATGAGGCTTTTGACATGTGTCTCAAACTCTTTATGAAAGGATATGAACGAACCGTCCAATTTCTTAAGAGGCCAGTATCCTGGATGTGCTGTTAATGATATCAATAACCCTCCTTACGTTCCTAGTAAGTAAAGATTCCTTGACAATCCTTTTTTTTTTTTTTTTTTTTTTTTTTTTTTAATCCTGGATAGGTTATTTCTTAGAAAAAATCCATCCTCTCATTTCCCGTCTTTCCCTGCCTGTCCTCTTCAGTTACATGTTTGTTCAAGACTCCATTGGCTCAGCTTTGGTGGAGTATCAAACACAAGCCACTTACACAAGCCACTTTCCTCTGTCAGTGGGGCTTCCTTATAACAGGACTAGAAAAATTACCTTTTCTACCATTCTCTGAGCAGCTGGTCTGCATCAGAGAAAGGGCAAGACACCTACATACTGTCACTCATCTACAGATTTATGGAAGGAGTAACTCTTACCATCACCACTGCTAGTCCCAGGGATGGGCGGTCTCTGGTTTTTCCGAAAACCATGACAAGGAAGATGGCATCTCCCTGATGCTTTAATTCAATGTCTTTTCTTTCTCTTAGGAAAGAAATTTTCATTGTCTTACTAGAAAGGGGCTAAAAATAGGTTTAAAAGTGCCCAAGCCTATGGGAGACTGATAGGAATGGGAACACCTCTTCTAGCAGCCAAGTTAATGACATGCTCATTCTCCCCCAGGAAGCCATGAGTACTTACAATTAGTGCCAGTGGGCTTGGCAATTAATCCAGCCAACATTTCCCCAGGAAAACCCTGCTGCCCGAACAATGCTAATATGCATCAGGAAGTTGATACATAAATGAGTTGTTGACAGTAAAGTATTGGAAATGTCCCCTTTTTCCCCTCAGGCTGTTATACTGTCCTGTGAATTCTTCATTTCTTTTCACACTGAATACAAGAGAAACATAAACATAAAAAAAGAAAACAAAATACTATAAAAATTGTAAATTATTGAAACCAAAAGCAGAGCTTTTAATTATTATTTTGGTGTTTGCTCTCTTTGCGGGGAAACTGCTGATTGTAACTGTTGTGTACTGGCCCTGTGGGTCTTGTCATTGACCAAAGCCCACAAACTGATGAGACATTTCCACCTTTGCCTTAAGTTACCTCCATTTTTGTCAGCGTTCAGAGATGCAAAAAAGGTGTGAGACTTTGGGGAAGATGGCCAAAACAGCAGAGCTCCCTCTACCCTCACAAATAAAAGACTGAGGGATGGACCCATAAAGAGGTTTCTGAGCCATGAAGCTGAGCTTTGCCACAACTAGCACTGAAGTCTGGGTCATTATAGAGGACTCAGAGACCTAGATACCTACAAGACAGGTAAGGATGAGGAATGCTGAAGACAGGTGTGTTTTGAGCCCAGTTTCTCTCTCTGACTTGCTCCTTCTTGTGCAAGGATGCACCTACTTCTGCTTGCGACTGGCAGTGTTGGTCTCCCTTCTGCAGACAGGAGCCTAAGGCATTTTTTCCAACCGGTTTTCAAACAGTGTTTAAGGGCTTTCTTTTCTATTCCACTTTATGCCAACACCATACATGCCCTTGGCTGTCCAAGTCCTTGATTGGTGTAGGTGTAATGTTGGACCATAACCATGATTACACATAACTGTGTTTTGAACTTCTGAAAACAGATGTCCTTCAAATCAGTTTTCTATAAAACACTTTATACTGATGATTAATATCCAATTGTAAAATAATCAGTATTACTGAGGCAGAATATGAAATATTCAGAATCAGAATGAAGCATGAAAATATGACTCATATAGCAGCATTTTCTTTCATATTCCACCTTAATTTTATGGGGCTAATAATTAAGTGCCACCGGGACAAGAAGTGTGACTTTCCCCAGAACCTTAGTATCTTCTTCAAAGCCACATCAGTCAAAGGTATTTGGAAATTGCCATAAATTAAGTTATTTCTCATGCAGATCAGCCACTCTGGAGTCTTTGTGTCTAAAGATCCAAACACAGGGATTCCAGCTGTGATGGCAGAACAGAGCAGAGAGGCTAATGGGACTTCAGGTACAGAGAAATGCACTTTGTAGTGATGAACTGCAAACATACACTAAAGTGCAATTAGGCAGCGAGATCGCTTGTTCCCAGAGAAATATTTACAACAGGGCGTGCACCTAATTCAGCATGCAAAATAAGAATATTTGAGAATCCACCTTCTTTCTTTTTGTGAGAGGATTTTATAACATTTTCAACTCCTGTAAAAATAAATACATTGTATAAACCAAACAGCTGACCTGCCCAATTCTTGCTTAACTTCACATGGCATTTTTGTGGAGGTTACTTGCAGAGGATGAGAATCACATTTTCCACACCTAATGGGCTTTGCTACCACCTCCTTAATGGGGGATCAAAGACCAGGCAGCACCTGTGCAGCCAATATGTACCTCATATGTGCCCTTGGCTCAGCTAAATTGGTGTCGTGTGAGAGACATCAGGGATACTCCTGATTATTATTGAAGGCAAAAAGCTACTTCTGGCTCCTCTGCTTGTAAACTGCTGGTGGAAGAGTTACTGGATAATCCATTCACATGTAAATACATCTGTCCTTGCTCTCTCCCATGCAGTGTGTCCGGCCACAGTAGATGACGCCCTGTGGACTCCTGCCTTTTCCTCCTCTGCACACCTCTGACACTCCCCACTCATTGCTTCCAATGCTGCTTGTGGCCGTGCCTTTAGTCCTGCTGTCTTTTAGTCTTAGATGCCTCAGGGGAAGAGAAGGGCCAGCCTTGAGCTGAGGCATGAATTTTGCCATGATAGGGCAGAATCATGCTGCCTACCTACACCTGCAGCTGAATGGTATGCAGGCTGAGGTCTTGTGATTTCGCACAACTGTGTGAGTTCCCTGGGCATCAGAATTTCTCCTTTTTTTTTTTTTTTTCCCACCATCTTTGATGTTAAATAAAATTTGTCACTATTTAAAAGAATATGTCAGTATATTCTCAATTCAGCAATGCAGAAATTTTCTTTCTGGCTATGAGTTACTATGGATATTAGCTATCATGTATTAGAATACATTATATCTGTACAGATGTTTTGAATTACTGGACATAAAGCTTGAAATTAATTATCACTGTTTACCCAGACCTCTCACCCTCCTGAGGACCTGTCTTGTATCATTCTCAGGCATTTCTGGTCATTCCCTGTCAGAAAAGACATTGTGTCCTGACTCCAAGACCTACCTGGGAGAGCACTATAACACCCACTCTCTCTTTGGCTGGGCACAGACAGCACCAACCTTCCAGTAAGTTTTCTAAGTACTTCTAAGCAGATTTCAGGTAATTGAAACATGCTTTAAAAGCTGCTGATGTTACCTGGGAAATCTGTAATGGTATCTAACAAGAAACAGCCCCATGCTTGGTTTTACTGTTTGTCATTTAGTAAGAAGTTTCAAGAAAAGAGAATCTTAGAAGAAGAAACAGAATCTTTTCCAGTCTTTCCTAGCTAAAATTAGGATCTACTCGTGGGGCCTGACTCTACAGCTGCTGCTTTTGTATAACTAGAGCGAGATGTTCCTGTCCTCCAGTAGAGCCGCTCACATGCAGCTACTGCAGAAGCAGCCTTATGTGATGCCAGGGTAATTTTTCCATCTCTTCCTTACCGTGGCCCAAGCAGAGAAGTTTCTACCACTGTTGGTGAAGGATCCAAACATTGCAGCTCCCCTGGCTGCTTCTGGAGCTGCCTCTGGTTCCTGGCAGGCAGCGTTTTACATTTTGCCTTGGGGCTCGGTTGGTCCAGGAGGGCAGAGCTGCATTGCAGCACAGCTGCTGTCGGCTACTGTAAAACTGTTATTTTGCAGCTGAGAAGCACTCAAAACTAGCTTATGCAGGCAGGCTATTGCTGTGAAGCTGGAGTAACAGTTGAAAGCTAGCTATTGGGTTAAATCAAATGGGCAAAACATGCCTTTTCCAGCAGAGATTGAGCTAAAACATGGATTAGTTTAATACCGCAATGTAAGTGCCAAAGCAGGGGTCCTTGTCCTGGCTTGTCTCAGTATTTAGCACTCATTTTCAGCAGTCGTACTGTGACAGCATCCAGAGGACATGGCTAAGTGAGCGTACTTAAGGTGGTGATGCACTTGTATTTTATACACCGATCCTGGGCGAAGGGAAACACTTGGTAACAGCCAGAAGCAGTTGCCAGCTCTTGTGGGCCTGGCTGAAGAGCAGCCCAGCTTATGAGAGAAGAAGCAGAAAGCCCTTGAACCCTGGACCTCGTTGGCCACCCTGTCCATCTAGGACACACAGGACTTAGTATGGTTTTGGGGCCCCTATGCCCCAATCCCAGCAGAGATCCTCCCATCACTGGTCTCTCCATGGTAATTTGTCCTCTGCACACTGGGTTCCACATAGCCATACACTGTCTTGGTAACTCTGTTTGAATAGGGACTTTGGATTTGCCTGTCTTCCTGATTTATTTAGTTCTATATATTTATTTATTTAGCTATATATGTATTTATTTAGCTCTATACCAGCAAAGCCAATTGCCCGAGACAAACCCTGTGAATTTAGCAGGAAAAGATACACCTGCTGGCACATCTGCCCCAGTCCCTTCAGCACGCACGCTGTCCCAGCCATGCTGACCTGGACCAGCGCTGTTGGGATGGTTATTGCTGCACAGCTCCTTGCAGCTGCCCCAAGGCTGTGAGCCTTCCCTGTTCCTGAAGCACTTGCCTCCAGGGCTCTTTCCGAAAGAAACACACGTTTTTCTGAGCCAAATGTAGAGAGTCCTTCAAGGCTGGAGAACACCAGCAAAAGCACAAGCAGAGGCTGGATCGCTGCAAAGCTGGGAAACTTTGGTGAATAATTTTTTGTACATATTCATTTGGGTTTCTCAAGCACATTTCTTTTCAAGGCTTTCTGCATTCACTCTTCACAAATAATATAGTAAATTAAATTACTGACAGGAATATTTAGGAAACCAGCATCAACTGCAGGATATTGGCTGAAAATGAATGACAAGTTCATAATCATACAAAAAACAATTTTAAGAATTATTCTAATTCAGCCAGAGACTAGGAAATGTGTCATCTGACCCATGTATGCAGTCAAATGGCTTGAATTTGGATAGAGTGAACTAGCAGCAATCAGCTTATGCATAGCTTAATGTCAAGAGTTATTTGCACATGATAGTCTGTAAATAATTTAAATCAACAAGTACGTTTGACAGCATTAGGACCTGTTCAGCACTGATTCACAATAGACTGAAATTTATTCAATAAATTATTTGTTGCAAATTGTTTATGCAGCTCTGGGTCCTAGTTGATATGATGTTGTTCTGTTCAGCACCTGCATTTGCAAATGGAGCCAAAGACTTGTGCTGCACAGCCAGAGGAGAGGACTCATAGGCAGGACATCCATGAAATGGCTCCAAAATTCCATTTATACAAAGCGCATGGGGTCTTGTGCAGTTATTTGGCCCAGCAGTGCACCCACAACCGAGAACCAGCAGGTCCTGAATGGTTCAGGAATTGAACCTCTTGCCGCAAGTGCCCATAAGGTAAAATGTTTAGGCTTGCATGAAAGCTGGTGGGCTTTTTGGTTCGGAAACAAATGTTGAAGCATTTTAAAGGCTCTGTGCTATTACAGAACCAGTGCTGAATATTGGCCATTACAAATGAAAGAACTCTTGATCAAATCTCATTAAAGAAAGGGAGAAGGAGGTGGATGGAGAACAACATGATTAATATTTCATGCTAGGATTTCCCGGATAATCTAAGTTGTGTTACCCAAATCATATTAAAGAAGAGTTGAATTTGAGTTCCTGAAATATATCATATTGCAATATGTAATTTAGCACAGAGATAACCCTATGTTGAGAAATTTTGGAATAGATTTGTTAATAAGGCGTACTACACTTCATTGATTTTCAGGTGATGCAGCAAAATTATTTTCAAAAGTCAAGGAAAAATTCACTACACCACTAATTCTGTAATGAAACCTCATATATCAAACAATGACAGGAAACCAGGTGAAATACTACAAGGATGGGGTGACATTTTGAATGATTACATTTTTGCTTTCTATATTGATTATTTATTTTTTTAAGATGTTCAGAGATTGTTTTGATTTTTATTTTTAATTCCAGGATATTAGAGCTTTATTTGCCAAAACAGATTTCTAAATAAATCCTATATTGAAAAACATACTATACTGGTTTTTAGGAACTTGTAGGACACTAAATTAAATGTACTAATACAGAAAGGAAATGATGTTTAATTTTCAGTTTGGGACACAAATTATTTTTTTTAGGGAGACTAAAAATACCTGAAACAAACTGTTTTGTGGATCAGATAGATTTTAGTTTTTTGTTTTGACCACTGAGTAAAATTTTCCATTATTGATAGTTTTGCAGCCACATTTTCATGTGACTCAGAACCACAATAATAATTGGTTCATGAATTACATCCCTTCAGGCAAAATTGTGCCTGAAAGCTCAGGTTGATCATATGATGCTTTTGGTTACCTTTCTTATTATTAATGATCTTGTTGCTTTTCTTCACAGTGCTGTCCAGCAGGCAACTGGAAAGCGAGCGTTCGTCTTGAGTCGGTCTACATTCGTTGGCAGTGGGAAGCACGGGGGTCACTGGCTGGGTGACAACTTATCTCAGTGGAAGGACATGCACCAGTCAATCATTGGAATCCTGGAATTCAACCTCTTTGGCATCCCCTACGTAAGTCTGGTGTCCTTCAGGCAGTTGCTAGCTCATATATAATATCACTTTAAATTAACTCAAATGTTTTTCTGAAGTAAGCTGCTTGAGATGGCCAGCAGTAACAGCCTCCACAGTATAAGGAACTGCAGATTAAAAAAAAGCTAAATGTCATCAATCTTGGCTGGCTGAAGAGAAACAAAAATAGCCCTGCTAGATTCAGATTAAATCACTGCATGCCATCCAAACCCAATCTCTTTATGTTATGTATTCTATTACTGAGGTCCCTCTGTATATTTCTGGTTTTGCAAGCTAGTCTGGAGAATTTGTAGAATTACAGAGATATGGTCAGATCTTCCACAGTGATATTAGTGCTCGAGAAGCCAGTACAGTCTCAGCCCCATTGTGGAGCATTCTTATAAAGTCATCAGAAATAGGTATCCCTTTCTGAAAATTCTTTTTATTAATAAGCTTCTGTGGTTTCTCATTTTTGGGCCCCAATCACAATCACAAACACTTATGCAGTGATTTTGTTTTTTCTGTAGGTTGGTGCTGATATCTGTGGGTTTAGCTATAACACTACCTATGAACTCTGCTTGCGCTGGATGCAGCTTGGCTCTTTCTATCCATTTGCCAGAAACCACAATGAAGAGGGAAATAAGGTAATTAAATGAAGTTACACAAAGCTGTAGTCTAAGATTACAGTAACGTCGACGGTGATGTATATTACTTTCACAGAAATTAACCTGCCATTCTTGGGTAAACTGTAGTGGCAGGTGAAAAGCAGTGCTGCTCTGAGAGCAGGAATTACATGGTGAAGTGTAGATTTGTCCCATCTGTAAAGATGACATAGAAACGCTGAAAAATGCATAGTATCTAACATCCAAAAGCCATGCAGAAACGTGTACTGTGTACTTTGAATGACAAAAAATGGTCTTCTCATGCTGTTGGTAAGATTCATCACCTCCATCTTTCACCTACTGAAGCGCAGGTTTTATTTAAGAGCCAGTGAGTGTCAGCACATCTTCCTACTCCCTTGTTTACTTCAATTTTTGTTTCAGTACTTCTGTAAGGGTAGAGAGGGCATTGTACACTATCCTTGCTGTTTACAAGCAAGTTTCAGACAACTGCTACTGTTAGAAACTCCAGACAAACATGTGAGAACTCCAAGGAGAGCCAGCGATAGCGACAGCATTATCAGCCAAGAAGCAACAAAGACTAAAAAAGGCCAATGAGCCCATGAGAAGGATGAAAAAGAGCAGCCTCAGTCCAGACCCATGCCCTGGCTTTGACTTATCATAAAGTCCTTTCAACACTTGTCTCGGATAGAAATAAATATCAGATTGCTTCTAACTATGAACAGTTTGAAGGTCTTGCAGCCTTTCTAAGTACACTGTGTTTATCTGCAACCATGATAAAAAGATTCTACTGGTTCAAGAAATGTCTTTTTTTTTCTTCTTCTTCTGTAAACTGATCTGTGCAATGCTAGAGCTCAGGTTATTAGCTAACCTTCAGTTTTCTTTGAAGTTGCATCATCAAAATGTTGCAATATTTACACCCACAGGAAGACGTCTGTGTCTGCATGAAAGTATGATGGATGTTCAGCAACTGGGCAAATGCAGGAATAATAAGCTCTAGTGCTGTCACTAAGATCATCAGGAATTACCCTGTAGGTCCCTGAGATATGCTGAGATATTTCTCTCTAGGAGAACAAATGTCTATGAGGTGTCAGCTGCTGCTATGGATAAACATTTTCTATTTACCTCTCCTTATCTGTGCATGTTTGCTAGGCCCTTTGGGCATGCAAATGGGGTCTGACCCAGGCGAGTGGGTATTAATCACATATGCACAATAAGCAGGAAAAGAGCAAGAGGTCTATGTGATGGGAGCTGCAACTCAATGTTGAGTGAATTACAGAAGTAAGAGAAGTTAAATTTGGTTTTATTGGATTACTTAAATCCATTTAAAACATTGTGTTCACTGAAAGAAATGAACAAAGCATTTTGGGTGACTCAGCATCACCTAAGAAGTCCGACCCTTTTTTTGTGAACTTAGGCAATATTTGTACAGTGTCAGAATACTGGTAAAAATACAGTCCAATTTTTGAAATAATAGATGGATGCTTGGAGGTCAGAGCCAGCAGAGAATATTATCAGTGACAATTCTGATGTAAACATAATAATGGAGAAATTTAACTTATATATTTGAGTTTAATTAATACTGTTAGTGTTAAAATGAAATCTTAAATATGCACTTTGCCTAATCCATTGAGGATTTCAAATGGTTTAATTAATAATTTTCTTGTCCAAAAAGCACTAGATAATATAAAAAGCTTTGTTACTTCTGTTCCATTTATGTTTCATTATCCTCAGAATTCATAATAAATGCTTCAATCTTAATGAGAAAACCATTATGGGAAAATTTTGTGAAGGAGAAATGGAGCCGTGTGACTCGTTAGCTGACTGGAGAAGGCCAGACAGGAGGAATTAAAGGAGATGTACCACTCCCATACCAGCACTGCCCTGGGCTTTGTGCTCCACATCCCATCGCAGGGAGAGTCAAGGTTGATTTTGAGTAGATCAGAAGCAGACAACAAGTGTAGAGAGGTTGCTTCAACCTTCCCTCTGGGTGGTGGGACCCAGCACGCGTGCCCTCTCACCCAGGAGAACATCACTGGCAGGGAGGAGGCGAGGGGCAGTGCTGGTGCATGGGTGTCCCCTCAGTCAGGGCATCCTAAAATGGTAGGCACAGGAGGAGAAATCAAGTTTCTTTGTATGGATGAAATGTTCTCCCCACCATGCACTGTGACTTCAGTTACTCCTGTTGGCTTCAGCAGGGCCATGAATTTATTCTTACTTTTAAATAGATTTGCCTTTATGTTCTCAGCCAACATAATTATGCTTTTGCCTTTATTCTGCAGATTATCAGTCTTCCCTTCTTCCTGTGTTTCACCTTCTCTGTCTCAGTGGGCGTGCATCTCCAGGATAAACTAATTTATCAAGACAGTATCTGTTCCCGAGCACAGACATGAAACCACAGCTCCCCTCTGTCACAAAGTTAGGGGCAGTTGCAGACAGCTCACATACACTGCGGTGGGGCAGTCAATGCTCTGAACTCATTGGAATTTTTCAAACAGTTTTATACAAATACTAGTTTGGTGATAATGGATGTTGTTCTTAATACATCTTCCCGTTTGCAAATCAGTGCTTTTTCTTATATAAACATTCCCTTCCACAGCATTATGTCAGCCACAGCTCTCCGTAGGTTGCCCACAGGTTCTCTGTTGTTTTTGCATTCCCTAGTTATAATGCTCAGTACAAAGCAAAGCTTTTCCTTAACAGGAACAAGACCCAGCGGTGTTCGGAGAAGAGTTTGCCAAGATAGCTCGCGCTACGCTTCGGATCAGATACTCACTGCTGCCATACTTGTACACTTTGTTCTTCGAGTCTCACGTTCACGGAAACACAGTGGTGCGGTCACTGATGCATGAGTGAGTTTGGAGTGTCTCTTTTTTATCTTACTCACAAAAGAAGTTGAGCTTCTATATATAAACCAGCTGATGTTTGCTTGAGAATAGTCACAGTAATATTACTGCATGCTCTCTCTTAGAAACGACAGTTTTACAATGAAATCTAATCAAATTATGTATACAAAGCTCTTAATATATGCAATGTATTTTCATTAAAATATAGCCTATATTTGTTTCCAGTGCAAAAATACCTAAGTAAGGAGAATCCTGAAAATTTCTTGCCTTAGGCAATTATGCAGGTTTGTTTTTTTTTTTTTATTTAAAAACAGGAATCACATACCTGTTTTTTCTGTATTTGAATTAAATCTATGAAATCTGTATTCTGGTCCAGAATGCCAAGAAGGCCTCATACAGAGAGGTCTCCGTTTTCCAATCATCCATAGTATTAGCACTTTCCAATTTAGCACTTGCATCTGCATGCTATGTATGAAACCTACATCTGTGTTCACAAATTGCACAGAGAAAACAGAGATAGAGATGTTTGAGTGTAGAAGCAGGTGCAAAACTGAGATTAATAAATGCAGACTGAAAAACTCCTCAGAAAATGTGACCTCAGATTTTTGGAACAACAATTTTTTTCTGTTTGGAAGAAGCAGGAATAACAATAAGGTTCAGTTTCCCTGTCAGCATCTTTGAATTAGCTTTTTACCTGCTTTTGGTAAATTTTCCACTTCAGAATGCTTTATGCAAAGACTTGAACAAAAGGAGTGCAAATAATACATATGAAATGCTATTACCCAAAGCTCTGACACAATTTAGTCTCATTGGTGCAGGCTACAACCTGGAGTGTTTAATGTTCTTTTTCCCTTTAGGTTAAAAACATTTTGGTTAAAGGGTAAGGCATTTTTTCCAAATTAAACTGAGATTACACTAAAGTGCAGACCATTTGAGTATGGAAAGGATATGCACAAAACCTCTTTTGCCTACTCAGCATAATGGCTAATTGATAAATTTTAAAAGCAGTATCCTTCCCTGTCCTACTTTGCTACCTTATTTAACTGGATAACATTGAGGAGAAGTTTTAGAGGTACTCATGTCTTACAAGGGGCTATATGCTATTTCAAGTATTTATTTTAGCTCTCTTTTTGCTTCATGAGATTTGTGTTAATATTGGAAATGACCACGTTCATTCTGGCATTAATATTAGCTAATCTCTGCTAATATAGAATTATCTTAGTGATGTTAAAGTTGCCTTTCTGACCATTCCTAGCATATTTGCACTCTACTTGGCCCACATCTACATTAGCAAATTTCTAAATTTGCTTTGATTTGAATTGTAGACCAGTCTCAGATGCACCAGCAGAGTCTTCCATTGGGTGAAACGGAGCTGAAAGCTGTGCTCCAGGCATTCATGGGAATTTAGTTGGTGATACCAGACTGGGATTGCTGGGAAATAAAACCTTTAAAATGCTTGTAGGGACTGTAGGTGTCAGGAGATCAACACAAACTGTTTCACTACCCAGGTCCCATCCTAGTGGGCACATCACTTGCTAATGTTGCCATAGCTAGATCCTAAAATGGCTTAAAAGTATTTCTTACTATTATTAGCTAATTCTGGTTACTGTTGTTACTTAATGAGTATTTCTTACTATTTCTAATTAATATTCATTGGTTCAGTGGGCCTGCTCAAGGAGAGAAGGTGACCCAGATGCTAACAGGCAAAATGTGTATTTTACAGAGAGAACTAAAACAGAATTTTTAATATGTGGATGATGAAATTTTACATCAAACCTTTCCCTTACTTGTAACAAATACAAAGGAGAGATAAGCAAACTGCACTAGTTTTTCAGGTGGAGCTGTTATGAGTTCACAAGCCTCACCGTGAAAACAACCCTGGCTGGGCAGGGAGTCTCCAAGCAACAGCTATGTCTTGTAGGCATTTCACATTTTTCATTTTATTTCATTTCAAATGTTTAGGTTCTCATTTCAGATAACAAACAAGAACATCTCAGTAGATTCCTACAAGTGTTTTAGGTGCCTCTAAGGCTTTCACTCAGATGAAACAGAGATTCCAGTAGCTCGGCTGTCCAAAAAGACCTGGAGGTGGTAATCCATGACTGGAAGGGAAAGTTCTGCTTAATAGCTAAACTGGGGAAAACAAAGACAGATGAGAGGCCAGCATCTAGCCATGTAGATGGAATTAAGCACCTTTTACACATCACAGATATGGCTTAATGGCTTATATTTTCAAAATTGAAAAGTTCATTTGTTTGCTGAATTTGTGCTCATGGTTGCTATAATTGCAAGAGAAAGTAGTGCCAACTTAGATGGTGAGATGCTTGTTTCTAAGTGCAAATAAGGTGGACTTCTCTTTTGTCATAATTTCTTGACCAGTCTTTTCTCCTGAAGTCTTCCACAGCAAAGTATATTGAAACAATATTATAGTTTTATTACAGCAAAATTAAAAATACAGAGATGACAAGAAAAACTAAAGTTTTATATTTCAAAAACTTTAAGACAAGGTAATTCACCAAAAACCACACTCTACTTTAAATTTTTACAAAATATTATGTCAAAATACAATAATGACCAAGATTAAGTTGTCCAAAAGAGCTACTGTTTTTGACAGGAAAAGAAACTGAATAAATTGAGGTTTCTTTCAGGCAGAGCCTGAGGCATACCTTCAAGAATATTTTTTCCTGAGCTCTATGTACTTCCTAAACTTGCAATATTTTAGAAATACAAACACCAAATAGATGTCTTGCCAGGGTGTTTTTGCTCATTCGGGGTAATTTCTCTAAGTCTGGGCTGCGTATGCCTATGCCCTGAGCCGGCAGGGTGTCAGAGTTGGGCACCGACACTGGGCCCCTCTGCTCTGGACAGCGGACAGCAGAAACCTGTCTTTAGACAGAGGCAGCTGCAAAGCCAGTTAAACAGACACAGTAAATAAATTTTTAAACAAATAATTTGCATGTCCTTAAAGAATAACACGTTAATATGCAACAGCCAGTGTGAATTTGTCAAAAGCGAATTATGTTAAACCAGCCCAGTTGCCATCACAAGGCAATGGGGCAGCTGGACAGGAAAGGAGGCAGAGGAGCTGGAGAAAGCAGGAAGGACAAGGTACCTTGATTTTAGGAGGTTTTGGGACACACTCCACATGACATTCTTATAAGCTACATAGGGAACAAGGAGATAGGCCCCTCAGAGATAGGCTTAAAAATTATTGAAAGCTGTTTAAATTCTCAAGGATTTTATGCCAGGTGCGCGGAGGTTCCTGAGACGAGGAGGATTTTTCCTCTTTGCCAGGTGCTATTCCATATTTTAATTAGCTGATGCATGGTGGAATAGAGATCTCTTCTCAAGATGGCAGGTGATGCCAGGTGAATGGGACTGTAAGCACTCTGGACAACATGATCAGAATCCAGAACAATTTTAATGCATTTAATAAAATGGACTGAATTCCATAAGTTTTCATCCATTCAGGAAAGGCAGCTAAAAAGCACAACACGTCGGAATGTTGCTTTGTGTTTGTCCAGCAAAAGATTTCTAATGTAAATCTGTGAAAGGTGCAAGAAGACAAATCCAAGGATTTTCACAAATGCTTTAGATCCTAGAGCACAATGTTATTCCTCTGTGTTCCCTCTGCTGGTCTTGGCCTCTATCCTGATCTTTGGCTCCCTTGATGAAATCTCAACCGACTGGGCAGAAATGAAGTTAGTTGTTTTCCCACTGCTGCTATTCTGAAAAGAAACCAGCTCCAGCATTTTGTGAGGGTTCTGGTCTGCTCCAGAATGGTAGGTGCCACTGTGATTTCTGACTCTCTGTCCAGCTTTTGGCATTCTCTCAAACAGGAGAAATACTTGGTGTTGAAGGATGTCTTGAGGAAGAAAATTTCTTGTCACAGTGAGTAATATAAAAATATTCTGCAAGTTCTACAAAAATGTGAATTAACATTGCGTATCTCACTTTCAATGCTAGATTTACCTCCGATGAGCAGACTCGTGGAATAGATACTGCCTTCCTTTGGGGACCTGCTTTTATGATTGCTCCCGTTCTTGAAGAGGCAAGTACTGTAATTAAAAAAATGCCATCATGCTGGAGTAAAAGAAATGAACTGTGCTTAGGGCACTGGATGACATTCAGGGCATGTTTGCTCATATCCTCTCATTTCTTCCCTCCAGCATCAAAGCTTGCAGAACACATTTCTGAGTAGCACAAACTGTACAGAGCTGCCCAGTGCTTGAAGTGGGAGGATGGAAGTGAGGGCATGGCACCGCCCTGCTACTCCAAGCACTGAATGGATGTAAACAGGCTGGATGCTGTCTCTCATGTGCTCCTGTTATTGTCCTGACAGCTCCCTCCAAGGACACACACAGAGCAATAATTGTTGAGCTAGGAAGAAATATGCAGATATTAAAGCAAACTGGTTTCCATATTGCCTCTTGCCCACAGTGTTTTGGAACTGCAGCATCTGAAGGGCTATGCTGGTGGTTTCCCAGCATCACAGGTGAACACAGTCATTGCAGAAACAGTAATGACAATATTAGTTGTAAACAGGTTTTAAAGAGCAGCATTTTCCTGTGGCTGAGCTGGGCACAGCGCTGGGTTCAGGGCTCTCACTGTTCAGCTGAAGCAAAGGTGGGTTTCTCTCCTTGCCCCACCACTGACTGCTGTCAGCACCAGAAAGGTACATCTGAGCAGAGATAAATATTTGCATGTGATATATCCTAGAGCTGTTTGCAATCAGCATGCTGCCAGAATATGGGATACATTTTCTAGACATTGCTGATGATCAAAAATATAAAAAGTCCACTGTCAGTCACCTTTTTTTAACCAGCCATTGTGCCTCTGTGAATTTAAAATGAAATTCTTACTCCTGCATCTAAAACCATTCTGACTCCACTGAGGCACTTCATTCGTCAGTCCTTCATCTTCAGACTCCCCCAGGTTTCTAATAGCTGATGACTAACAAGGAGATTTCACAGGATCTCAGACCAGCAAGATGATGAAAGATGTGAGAAAAACCTTCCCATGAGAAGAGGGTGATGAGCCAGGTGGCTTCCTGCAAGAAGTGGATGAAAGGGAACGTTATAAGGATATATAAAATGATAGGGAGTCTAGATTAGGTGTTCCTAATGTTTTTGGGGGGACTGCAGCACAAAAGGAAGGTGAGGTGCCTGTGGCCTGATAGAGGAAGCAGAGCTTTGGAAGTGACACGCTGCTGGGTCTCGCAGTGGGAGGGAGATGGCAGCCAGTGCCCGTGCCATCTAGCAGGGTACAGGGCAGAGGGGAGCAGTAAGCCCCTCACTGTGGCATTGTAGGCCAGCAGGGACTGTGTCAAACTGCAGCAGCATGGCACCACTTGTCTAGGGAAGATGGGTCAGGGACAGCTTTTCCTTTGCATCAGGGACAGCTTTTGCTGTCCTTTTTGAGTCCTAGGCTGTAAGTGAGACATCCATCAAAACTAAAACAGAGAACTGCTTTACGTGCCGGCTTGTTATTTAGGGAGTCATGAAGGCAAGGCTCATCACGATTCAGATGGTGGTTACACACTTCTCTGCAGGCCAGAATGTCCAGGGTGGTCATAATAATGCAGTGAAAATATATAGAGAGGGGCATCTTGACTTCCTAGGGTTTTTCCTTCAAGTTTTCAAGGTGCTTTACAGATTAAGCCTAGCTTTAATTGTTAAACAGCTAGTAAGATCTAAAGAGAGAGCACAAACTACCCTAACCTTCCTTACTGCAGCGCTAGGATGCTTGGCCTGAAACACCCAGCACTGCCCAGTGTGGGAGGCAGGCCACACAACAAGACAAATTTCTCAGTTTAGCAATTCTTGTGCTCTAACAAAAGAATTGCATAGTTTAATAAGTCAATTATTTCTTACTCCTTTTATCGGTTCCTATATACATGTCCCTAACGTGCCAAATGGTAACTTTGCCTTAACTCTTCTCCTCTACCTCTACTTTTCATTTGCCATCTGCTCCCTGGAGTAAACCTTGAGGGTAAATCATAGCTCTGCAAAGGGGCAGACACCTATGTTGAAAATCAAAATGAATCTATTTGCGAGAATAAGCAACTTGTGACAAAACAAGAAGTATGTTTTGATTCTGACTTTTCCTGGAGTTATTAATTCAAAGTGCCTTTACTGTGATTTCATCCCTGCAGCAATATGATACAACACATGCTGCAAAACGAAGTACAGCAATTGTGCAATTAGCAGCACATTATTTATTATTTATCTGCAACTTTAAATTGTTGCTGAGAAGACGTTGCTGAGAAGACAAATATCTGTGTATCCTCTTTGCGAGACCTTCCTTTCTGCCTGTTTCTGCAACAGGAACAGTGCAAGAGGCGCTGAGCAGTGGTGTCCCCCCACTCCACCATCAGATGTGAAGTCCTGCCTTGCAAGGGCTGCCATACACCTCACTGGGATTGTTCAGATGTTAGAGGAGTGCACCGAGGCCAGTTACATTTGCAAGACATAGAGCCATGTACTAGACAGAAATAATCATATAACATTGACTCATCCCATAGAATGGCAGTAAAACCCCCCAAATAGGATGGGCTCATCTGTTCAGCATTACAGATTAGCCAGCAATAGCCCACTGCTGTGACAATAACTCAGCCATAATACTGAAGATTTGATGATATTAGAATATTCAGCATACATCTCTCCATGCGCAAATATAATAAAGCTAATGTAATGTCAGAAATGCAGAAAGAAAATACTTTAATCACTTTTTAACAATTACAGGGAGCAAGATCCGTGGATGTATACTTCCCCGAAGCATCATGGTTTGACTACTATACCGTATGTATTTTCAAGATTCAGTTTCTTACATCTTTTACATAATTTAAAATGGTAGAATTACAGCAAAATAACTTTTAGCAATGTTCAGCAGTATTTTTACCTCAGCATCTGTGTTTAAGAAAACTAGAGCACAAAAAGTCTACACCAGGCTAGCTGGGAGAGTAAATTACACAGCTTTCAGTAGCATTTTACTTTCTATTTTTAGTTTGTAAAGCTTTAAGACACAGAGAACTGAATTTTCAGGAGCAGCCTAGAAATTCATGAAACTGTCAAGATTTCTTTCTTTCCCCCTCCCTTATAGCATGTTTTAATTCTTGTACTGATACACTTCCCTGCACAGAAACAGAGACAGAAACCTGAGTCGTACTCCTGAGAACATGCTGCAAACCATTTTGTGCATGCAGTTTTGCAAATGCATCACTTTTGACAGAAAGCATATTTAGAGAGCAGGGTGAAGCTCCCCTCCAAAAGATGCTTCCAAGAGATGTAGAACAATCTGCTCTGTGGAAAATGCCAGCCTCTTCTAGTTTCAGGGACTACAACTTTTGACCTTTCAAACACCATCATCCCCAGTACTGCATTTCCAAATGTGCTGAGTTTTGACCTAACTACACTCTGCTGCAATCTGCGGGATAAGACCAGCATTGGCTTCAACAGTAGTTAGGCTGATGCTAAGAGCTTTTGGAAATGTGAGCTCAGGAGCATCAGGCTGTTGTTAACTACCCTGAGCGATGCTGGCAGAGGAGTGGGCAGGACAGAGAAGCTCTCAGAGGAAATTCAGACTTATTTTTAAATAAGGTTGGTGATTTTCAGCATTTGGCTGGTATCCTTAGGTGGCTATTCATCCAACCGTTTCCCTTTTCTCTTTTCATAAGGCCATGGTACTGCAGGGTCAAGAAAAGGTTCCTTCCAATCCAAACCATTCTATGATTTTCTTCAGATCTCCTTGTTGTGGTTCCCTCTGAGTCCCCCTTGCTGGTCTGGGCCAGGGACAGCAGCCCCAGTGTCCCTTGCCCTGCCTACAGGGCATGGCCTCAGCATTAGCAAAGCTCAGCTCCCAGCATTTGGCACATACCTTTCATACACATGGTGCTTATCCAAAAGTAAGGCTGGGTACTTACCATGTTAGAATTCCATTTACAGAGGGCAAGAGTAAAGCCTTCCTGTTATTTACTCTGTACTTGCCTTGCCTATATCTGTTTTTGAGGCATTAAACCAGAAAGGAATGATGCAGAGAACTTATGCTAGTTGTCTTCACATATATGAATTTCACCCACTGAATGCTGTAATTACTTTTTGAAAGGGAAATTCTTGTTCTTAGAAGAGAAGAAAATCTACAGTTTACATTCCCAAATGATTATGAATCACTTATCTTAAACTGAAACCTGACAGGCTGCATATGCATAAAAAGAGGAAGCAAAAGTTTCTTTTGCTTTTTGCTCAGTGTCCTGATGAGAGATTTTTCACAGCACATGGAATAATGATATCATTTTTAAAGATGATTTGCTGTCTTTCATTCATGATGTTTCTACCTCATGCATATGCATAACTGCAGGGGCTAGCTCCTCTTTCACCTTAAAAAAAGGAACTAGAATAATACCTCTGAAATCTGCTTTTCTGTTTGCATTTTCACTGATGTAATTGAGATGCAAATGTATGCCTTGGTCTCTTTTTCAGTGGTATACCGTCACAGTGTATAGTGCTTGGATTTGAGTGTTTTTAACTGCATTAACTTTTGTGGTAGGGTCGTAAACTGCCAAGTACCTGGAAAAAGAACTATGCTACTGTGGCTGCCCCATTGAGCAAGATCCCTCTGTTCATCCGTGGAGGCTACATCCTGCCAGAACAGGCACCAGCCACAACCACTACTAAGAGGTAACATCATCTTTGTCCATCACCAAGCAACCATGGTGTGGGTCAGACCCACAGACAGACAAAAAAGCAATCATAAGAAAGTTCAGAAGAGCAGCTATCTGCAGCTCCCAGCTGCCATCCCAGGCAATAAAAGCAGTATTTTTATCCTGCTATTAGCTAAATTGCATTAGGAGAACTGACCCCAGAGATGACCCACATCACAGTTTGCACAGCTGAAACCTGCTCCTGGCTCTGTGGTTATGCTCGGAAAAGCTTTTGCACCTCTTACTGCTACACTGACCTGCTGACAGTCATTCCACGTAAACATATGAAAGGGGAAAATGTAAAATTCTTCTCCTTGGATGTACTTATCCAATGCCATGGGCAAAGTGCAAAAGCTCAAATTTCTTATGAGGAAATTGATTTCCCCACACCAACGGGTAATATACTGGCCTTACATCTGAACCACGCTCAGAAGCTAATGTGAGCAGTGAAGGAAGGGAACAGCACTGTGCAGCAGCCAAACCAAACCACAGGAAGGCAGCACTGGTGACCAGTTGCCTCCCAGACTGTTCAGTTATTGTACCTTAAGTCCACTAAAGAATGGAAAACGTCCACATGAGCACAAAAAGAGGGAATTTTAGACTTCGATGTGACAAGGCAAGGTAAACTTTTCGTCATCATTTCAGGAGTCCTTTTGGTGAGCATGGTTGTCATTCTTCTGTTGTGGCCTTTTTTGTAACCTTAAAATTGAAGTTAATTGTGTTCAGAAGTTTTTGCTAAATAATTTGGGACAGTGCTCACCAGTTTGTGCTGACACTTCTCAACGTGCTTGTCAACAGCCGTCTGAATCCATTTGGACTCATTATTGCCCTGGATGAACAAGGAGAAGCTTCTGGGTCTCTCTTCTGGGATGATGGTGATTCAATCGGTAAGGCTGGTTCCCCACTGTGAAGCAGTGTCTGTGTACAGGGCTCCCCTCAGGCCACCTTTTCAGCAGTATAATGGCACTGACTCCTGCTAGAAATAGCTGGAGAGCTGACCCTAAGTTGAATGTTACAGAGGTGAGAAGCAGACTGCTCTTGAAGTCAGCATTTCAATACCAGAAAGGTGTAATACTGGGAAGATCTGGTCTGCTAGAGAGGGCTGTCACTCATGTTGTGTTCCCCTGAGATCACCCTAAGGACACTAGAGGAAGAGATTAAATAACCCACAAGTCATAGTCTGATGTTAGCCACTTCCTACAATTAATGTGAACCAATTATGGATTTTGCTCCCTGTTTTGATGCCAATCCTCCTTGTTCTGTGTTTTGACAGATACAATCGAAAATGAGAACTACTTCTTGGCTAAATATACATACAGCGAAGTAAGTAGCAGCACACAAGGTACTTACAAACATAGAGGTAGCTGTATTTTAGTGTGGCCATTGTAAGGTGATGATGTCTAACTCTTCTCTGGAAAGCTTTTTTCGTATAGCTCAGCCTTTAAAATCTGGTAAGCTACCTAATGCTTTCATTTACAGACAGCTGCAAAATAACCCAACTATGATGCTGCAGTTTTGTGTTTGCTTCATTGAGCATCATAGTGACACATCATTAGTGTCCCTGCTGTGATGTGAATCTGAAAATCCATTTTTTTCAGCTCAGATTTTTATTTTCTGAGTTGCTGCTTCTGGAGATGAGGGACCTTCTCCTTGTTTTCCTCCTGTGAACACTTTCAGTGTCATGGGTGGGAGAAGGCTACGTTCCTCTATTCAGGATATCCCAGCAACTTTTGAACCTCAATCACTTGAAGCTTGCATTTTGTGGCCCAGAGAATTACTCACTTCTTTAGCTTGCATTTCCTTGTATGACAGCACAGAGATTGCTCCTGTAGTTGGTCCCCCATGGAGCAATTCAGCACACTACCAGCAACCCACTGTGCTGATCAGAGGCTCCGTGCAGCACAGCAATAGATTAGCCCAGGGTCAGTGCACTAGTGCCTTTCACACAGCGCTCACTTCTACACAGACAGGTCCTGAGAAAGCTCAATAGAAAAATCCAACAGTCTAGGCTTCAATCGAGAAAAATACCGTAAAATAAATCTACTAGAAGCTCATTAAGTATATGAAAGTAAGTTCTGGGAGTCATTATAAAAAAACCTAACCTACTTCAGAAATCTGCACAGATCATACTTTATCTACAATTCCAGTGTCTGGCAAGAAATAGGATATTGCGTGTAGACTGTGGCATAGTTTTCATGCTGTGTATTCCAAAAAACCCTGAAGCAGTCTACAGAAAATATTCAAAGGAATAAAATTGTGTTAACTCCTATTGTAACATTGCTCTTAGAGTGTGTATCTTCCAGGAGCAAGAGCAAGCTAGGGTAAGCCGATGGGTTTTATTATGTAGTCTTGTATATTTGTGAGATATTTTTCTGCAACTAATACCACATGTCTAGACTTTAAATTTAGTTTTTAATTTATTTTCTTTTGATTTGCTAAGAAATAAAATTTTCTTCTTCTTCAAAAAAAGGATATTTCAATGGCAAAAAGGAAGAAAAATCACTTCACTTTTCTGTAGTCTGTGTGTAGTAATGTATTGCAGGAAGGCTAGAGAAAAACAACATCCAGTTTTATATTAAATTTTGATCTGTGCAAATTAGATTGTTGATTCACTGGCACTTCCATTTCTCATTGCTCATATTTGACTTCTACCTGTAAATCCATGACTGAAGTCCCTATCTGCATTCCAGTAATCTCTAATGTCGATTTTTATTATGTGTTTATAAAGAAAAAAAATCCTCTCAAATAGCAAATTGTAGAGGTATGAGAAATGTATGAAGGTCTTGGTATTTTGTTGCACATTTCTATATTCTTAAAAAATTGTGGATGAATAATTTAATCACTTCTAGTTTTAGGAGAACACACAAGTTTTGGTCCCTAAGAGACTTATTGATATGGTCTGAGACAATAGCATTTACTCTGAACAGGGTGTTGTGCCGGTAACAGCTACAGAATTAGACCCTCTCATTTATATTTTCATATAAACAACCCAGAATACAAAGAACAATTCAAGACTAATGCAGGCACTTAAGTCCCAGAGAATGATTCAGACTGCTTGCTCTCAGGTACTGTCTCACTGTGGTCAGTATTTTAATTCACTTGACACCTCCAACACTGATAATAGCTAAGTGACCAAAGTCAAAGTGCTCCGTATATTAAGCCTACCAGTCTAGAAAAATACGTGAGCCAGATGTATAAGATCTGCTGTACTTCAGGGATGAGCAGGGAGAGGCATAAACTCTGCCTCCATCCCCAGAGGCGGCAGACAAGGCAAGATGTGCTCAGACCATACCAACTGAGTCCAGACTACACTAAAGGGATGGTGACGGGAAGGCTTGCCCAAGGAAATGGGAGCTTCTGAAAGAATACACCAGCCTCTAGGTAACTGAATAACAAGTTCCTCCTAAAACTGGTCCAATTTTCAGGGGGTAAATGTGGGGGCAAAAAAGGTGAAGTTCATAGGACCACAGTAAGACAAATCACGACTCCTGCTCAGAAGTGCAGGAGGAAGTCTTGGTTTCTGGCCTTGGATCCAGGACTTCTTTTTATTTTGCATTTATGGGGCTTTGAGTGATATCCATAAGTTTCCTCCCTCCGATGAGAACTCAGGACCTTCTTGGGTGACTACTTTAACCACTAGATGCCTGGGGAAGAGAGGATCACTCATGCCTCTGGACCATCACCTCCTTGCCTTCCCAAGACCTTCAGCTCTAGACCTTGTCCAGAGCGACAATGGTGTCTACTGCAGAGTCATGGGGGAGGACTCTGAGCTTGTGTGCAATTTTTCAATACAGTTGTAATCACTGAGTCCAACATCACACTGAGCTTACTGGGTCTCTGTGGCCACCTAGAGCTAGCTCTCCTGCTTAGCCACACCTGAGACAGCAACAAACCACTGTAGGGAGGTGGTCTCCTATACTGAACTTCCCTGTATGTTGGAGCTCTGCCAATGGGGAGAAGACACCATATATAAGTACCCTAACATGTTCTCCAGAGGCTTTTAGAGGCCTTTCCCCATTTGCTCCATAATAGCCAATGTTCCTCATTTAGGCGGTTTAAATCAGTGTGCTGAGGATTAGCACTTATTTTTAGTGTGGATGCCTGAAATAAGCAGTCTAAGCACAGCCCTAAGTTACAAATACTGTGATCTAGCTTCTGCTCCCCTCCTACCATGCACCATTGAAATAAGATGAGCTAATTTATGCAAAAGGTTCCATCATGGGTTTCTCCGTGGCATATTTTTAAAAAGTCATGATTGCATAGCAATTCATCATTTCCTGAGCAGAGTAATTCATCTTTATTTCCTTAACAACTTTGATCACATAACAAATGCAATGATTCCTCTTCATTGCTTGTACGGGAAACTACTGTCGCTGGTGATCCAAATGAATTTGTTTAATGACTTTGTATGTCCTCTTGGTACAACCCTAAATAGGGGATGTATAGTAAATAAGAAGTACAACAAACAAGGCTCGGTGGACATACAGTGTTCCTTCAGTGTCCCTAAGGCTGGGACATAGCAGAGATTTCTAGCAGGAGATGTGGGACATAAAATAGGGGCAAAATATCTAGTAGCTGATGTTTGTGGAAGATGATAACGGTTTAAAGCAGTTAGTTGTGGATGTTAATTAAATCTGCCTTAAGGTCACTCACTGAATCTCTGTATCTGGATTTTGGCTTTGCATATGCCACTGTACCCTGTAAATGGTACAAGAACCAAATTTGCATTGATTACAAGTAGAAAAAACATGTCCAGGAAGATTCCAAATGGATGTTGTAAAGGCTATTTTGTGTCTTACTTTGTAGGTTTATAATGATACATGAAACCTTTCTTATGTGAAAATTGATGTGACTGTTGTTTTTCCTTTACAGTCTCAGATTTAATGTCTACATTGGAAGACATTTTATAGGTTCATTGACAAAGATGAAACCACAACAATAACAGCACGCAGTAAGTCACCTCCGGAGAGTTGCCATGGTCCTAAAATATTCTGTGTGGCTTTTTCCAGGGAAACCTGAAGACAGAAATACTTAAAAATGGCTACCGAGGGGCTGACACTCAGGAGTACAACAAAATTACGATTCTTGGCCTGAAACAGAGACCTCATGCTGTTGCTGTGAATGGAAGAGACATCCATAGAGATGCTTTCACTTATGAGCAGAGTGGGGTAAGAGCTGCACTGAGCAATTATGAAAAATCTTAGGGAAAGGGGGATAGTCGATGAGTGACTGGAACAGTTTTTCATCCACACCACATTTCCAAGTATAAGCAGACACCAATCCTTGATACAACAGTCTGAGTTTTTTGTTTGCTGGTTTTCTTTTTTTTTTTTTTTTTTTTGTAGGGGGGGAAGTAACAGCAAGAGCTCTTTTAGGAAGATTTAATCTTTGCTATTACACATACACTCGTTCTCTCTCTCATCTAGTGCCTGTCACTTATGCAAGTTTTTAAACGAATGAAATAATGAAAAGGGGATTTAGCTCCACAAACTGGGAGAAATGTTAGCAGTTTTATGGGCATTATTGTCATTCGGATAAAATGAGAAAAGCTCTCAGAAGTTATGTATCAGCTGAAAAGTTGTTGAGATATTTTCTTACAACTACTTAGTGTTCAAAAATAATTACAGCGTAGCTGGCTTTAATGAGTGTCTCCCTGTCTTTGGAGGAGGGAAACGTGAATCTCTGCTCTACATTTGTTCCTAAGAAACTATCGCTACAGTGAGACAACAGTTACAGTTTCAGCATCTTAAGGTGTCCAACCTCAGTGTCCCAGATCAAAACGCATGACAAGAAGACACCCCAGAGGGGACAGAGTGAACACCTCTAATGAACAAGTGTGGCAGCCTCTGTGGTCCCCATTTCCTTTTCCACAGGAGAACAGACAAAAGGAGTAACACTGAGTAAACTTCGCTTGCTCTGGTCACTTGTCCCATATCTGTCACCAGCCACCAAGCTGAAGTGGGTTGTGCACACTTTGTATAACGTGGTTCTCACATCTCAGCACCGAGCTGCATCTAGCGAATGCCCAGTACTAGCACTATAAGATGCCACTAACTCTTCATTCAATCAAAGATATCTGAGGCAACAAGCAATAGATGTCACATCTTATGTTACTCTACCCACTTGGCTTAATGATCTAATTTTATTTGTAAACAAAGTGTGATCCCTATTATATGCACTTGGTTCTCACATTTATTTTATGGAAATAGTCTGTAAAGGAAGAAAATTGTTAAGAATAAATTTCTGCCTTATAGAATCGTAAAAAACTTGCTTTCAGAGACAATGTCATAAATAGGTCTAATCAGGGGGGAAAACTTGCCTCAGGGGAAGAAATTGTTTAACAACCAAACTGCCTCTAAGTAAGCTGAAAGAAACATAAATGTGGCAGGGTAAAGAAAACACTCCATTGAGATGTGCTTGAAGGCACCAATCACAGAAATCCAGAAGATAACTGCATACTAACAGCATCACATAAAAAGATGATTAAGAAAGACTAAAAAGCTTGTCACAAAAGTATGATTTAAAATTTCATTTAAGTGCAAAAGATGATCTCAGTGACTTAAGAACTACTTCAAATAATAGAGAAAAAAACACCAAGCTGCTGTAGTAGGAAAGGTCCAAAACTGCACAAAATTTACATTATTTAAATCAGACAGTAACCTAAACTAGCTAAATATGTTCCTCTTACAATTCTAAGAGATTCAGTCAAATCTCTTCCACCAGCCCTGTACAGATGTTGTAATACCATTACCTATAATCCTCTCACGTTTGACTCACTGTTAAAAAAAAAAAAAAAAAAAAAAAAAAAAGCACTAGCAGCTTGGGTTTAGAACTTGAAAACTTACAATCCATGTAATTAAAAAAATAAAATCTAAAGGGCAAATTTGCCACTTTCTCGTACGCTTAATGAGATTACATACTGTATAATAGTTTAACAAGCACAAAGACTGTACTGTTTGAAGGGACGTAGTAGAAAGTAACATCTACCATATTACTTTTGCTTTACAGAAAGCAAATTTGCCTAAAAGCAGTGCTTAAGTGCATAATTGAGCCATAGTTATTTGTCTATAAAGAGGAGCAGTTTGCTCAGTAATAAGCCACTTCTTTCTCTCTGATTCATGCAGTGCTACCCTGATCTGACATTTCTATATCACAGAATGTTCCTATTATTAGGACTCTTTATCTTCCCCCCCGCCTTGGCCCCCACCCCGGAGTATTGTGTCCTAGAGCCACAGGAACTGTGTTGTAACCGCATCTGAGATGCCGGAGGAGCACTTCTGTTGACCAGGCTTGTGCAAACGACAAAATGACCTGGGCACAGGAAGGTTCTCCTTTTTCTCCCACTTACATCCTCTGCTGGGAAGTGCAGGGAGATTCCCAATGTCTGTGCAGTAGTGCAGCCTGGAGCAGCCTTTCTGGCTATCTGGAGCTTTCTGGTTAGTGTTTGGATGAGGTTGCAGCATTTTTGTCTGTATTTGAGTAAAAGGTAAGTCATTCAAGAAGTGGACTTCCTACTTACCAAATAGAGGTAGAGAACTGTTTCTGATGAAAGATCAAAGCATTACATACTTTGAAGAAGTGATCTAAGCACAGACTTAGAGTGACAGCATGAATTTGTGGGTGGGCAAAGAACTAGCTACGAGGTGTGAATGGACAGTATGCATTTTAAGAGATTATTAATTCTGAAACCTAAAGATAAAAGTGGTGAAATATTAATAACGAAAATGGAAATTTTGTGAGAAGTGTAAAATACATGAAATTTAACATTGAACAGAGAGCAGGACAGGTATCGTATTTATAATTTCATATTTAATTCATGTTATTAATTAAACTGTTCCTGAATTTCTAAAAGGGATGTTGAATTGGATACAGCAGTAAAAAGATGCATACTGCCACCAAGTCAGTCTTGCCTACCAAATGAGGTTAAGGGAATCATGAAGGTCTAAGCTCAGGTTTCCCTTCTTGTTCTCTCTTTTGAGCTGGTCTTTTTTAAGTTAACATAAAGTTGTTCATTATTTTTATGTCTTTTTTTTTTTCCACAGAAACTCACTTTACGAATTTCTGCCCCATTTACTCAGGAACTCGACATTATGGTTTACTAAAATGGTCAGAAAACACCAACACAATTTAGCATCCTTGGCCCTCAGATATTGATCTTACTTTGATTTTAATGTAAAAAAACATTTAGTCATTAAAAGATTGCTTATGCACCTGATGATTTTTCTTTTCCTATGTAGTATTTGTAACTCAGTATTCTTCAAATAAAATTTTCAATAGCAGTTAATGAGTATTACCATAAACTGATGTGTGTTCAAAACAGCATGGAAGGAATAATCCTGCAAGTTCTCTCACCTCAGATGGAGATAATATTTGTAATTGTTCTCAATGGAACCATATTCTGGACAGCATGCACTGGTGGTTTTGGGTTTTTTTTTTCAAACCTATGGTGGCAAAGAAAAAGGGAACAGCCAAAGAGTGATCTGAACTCACATAGCCCTGTTCTTGGGGAGACAATATGGTTTGTCAAGAGAATGCACGGGAAACAGAGCTAATCAAAGGCTGGAGACACCTAGATCTACTTTGTAGTTGAGCTGTTTCTGGGTGAAGAATGATCTCCCAAGATCATAAGAAGCTCCAGGTTGTGGAAATGGCTCTAAGGAGTCACTTCAATTTTAATAATATAATACATAATCAGCTATTAATACAATATATAATACGTATCATATATGGTATAATGAATATTAATGTGATCTTATATGAAATATTATATGATCAGCTGGTATAAATCAGCCAGTAGTTTCAGACTACAAAATCTACAGCTGTAGTGGTCACTTGTTTTTGTCTCCTTTGACATGTTCCTGAACTGTAATAAATGCAGCCTGGGCATGTCTCGGGATCCAGCCGTCATGGATAGAATTTGTTGAAAACAGGGGGATTTATTTCGAGAATTTGGTTCTCTCTGGAGACTTTTCCCAGTGTTAGAGTAGCTCTTACTGCAGCAAGCGGTTGGTGCCCTTAAATGTACACTGTGACTTCTGATAGGAGGGATCCATATCATGGCAGGTCAGAGCTTCACAGACTCAGCTGTTCCCACACTTTGAACTCTAAGCTAAAAAGTTATTTTTACTTTTGTTGATATTTATTCACGAGAAATCAAAGTCACAGTTTGCAACCATAAGAGCTTTAATAGTAAACAGATACTCCAGTAAGGAGACTGGGAAGGGACTGCCATCCCATTCAGGCTGCCAGCACCAGCTCTCCCTTCCCCAGCAGTAGTGTTCCCCCCTGAACACTGCAGGTAGTCCTAAGCTTCAGCTCCAGCTCCTTGAGGTGCTTGTGACTCTTCCAGTTCCCATCTCTCACCATAACAAAAATGTATGGAAAATCCTGCTCGTGGCAGAAATGCCATGTCAGTTCCCAGAAGATTTTCCCCACAAAATGAGGATGTTAGCTCCTCACCATGGCAAATGCATGAAGAGAGAAATAAATCCAAGCAACAGGTCAGAGAAAGCAAATTTGTAAACACCCTGTCTGGGAGTGGAGGATGTGATGTTTTGGGTTGTTTGGGGAGAGGGCTGGGTTTTTTTGGTGTGGAGGGTTTGTCTCTAATCTGCTTCACAGTGTGTGTAAAAATGGTTGTGGGAGATGAGGGGGGAGGTGGTAAATTTGCTGACAAATGGTGAAAGAGGAGACTGGTGGGGAAGCTGGAACACAGATGTGGCTGGAGAGCCGGGGAGATGCCATCTCTGTGAATAGCCCTTGGCTGAATAACCGTGTGGAGCCAGCCAGTGTTCACTGGCTTTCTGTGAAATCAGTGACTAACCTGGCAATTTCATATACATCTTAATAAAATAAAAGCAGAAAAATATTCTCCTAGGGGCATCAGTATGCTGTTCAGGCTTGTATTACAATCTGGATTTTATTCCTTCCTTGTTATCTTGCTCCTTGTAGCTTCAGTGAACACAACAGGAAATCACTACTTGATCATACATCTGCCTTGGGCTCTGATTTCACACGTTTATTTTGTAAAAGTAAGCAAGACAGCCCTTAGGGACTTCAAAGAAAAATGGAGTTTGTGTGTGTGCGTGTGTGTATCTGGCTATTTATCCGCTCTGAGCATCAAGCTGCAGGTGCAATGTTAGATGTTTTACAATTTTTTGAAATTCAG